GTATCACTGCCTCCTAGGGACTAAATTAGAAAATGCTGGAGTCAGAAGCTAGCTACCGAACCAGGTACTCTTATGGTGGACACTGGTGTCTGAATAGTTGTCTTAACTGCTAAATCAAATGTGCTTCCCCCTCCACTGGAATTTATTCAAACAAATGAAATCCATGTGTCAAGGAGTTACCTGATATTGGATACCCAGAAATCCAATAAGACTGGATAAAGAAAATGTGATACTTATACTCAATGGGATGCTACTCAGCAATAAAAAATACAGTGGAGCGGGCCCGGCGCGGTGGCGCAAGTGGTTAAAGGTCCTCGCCTTGCACGCCCGGGATCCCATATGGGCACCGGTTCCAATCCCGGCAGCCCCGCTTCCCTTCCAGCTCCCTGCCTGTGGCCCGGGAAGGCAGTCGAGGACGGCCCAATGCTTTGGGACCCTGCACCCGCGTGGGAGACCCAGAAGAGGCTCCTGGCTTCGGATCGGCATAGTATCGGCCCGTTGCACTCACTTGGGGAGTGAATCATCAGACGGAAGATCTTCCTCTCTGTCTCTCCTCTCTGTATATCCGCCTTTCCAATAAAAAAATAATAAAAATAAATCTTTAAAAAAAAATACAGTGGAGCAAATTAAAAGTACAGTGGAGAATCTCTAAAATAGATTGAAGCAAACAGAAGAAAGAATCTCAGAACTGGAAGATATTTCCTGTCATCAGAGGGAAACAAACAAAAAGTTGGAAGCAGAGCTGGGTCAAGCTAAAAAAAGTATTCAAGATTTGAAAGACACTATTAAGACGCCAAATATAAGAGTTATGGAAGTTCCAGAGGGTGCAGAATGAGAATCTGGGGTTAAAGGTGTATTCAATGAAATATTTAAGAAAATTTCCCTAATCTGGGGAAAGAATTGGGAAACAACATCCAGGAGGGACACAAACTCCCAACAGGCTTGACCAAAAGCAATCTTCACCATGACACATGATAATCAAGCTCTTTTCAATAGAACATAAGGAAAAAGATCCTTAAATGTGCATATAAAAAAATTAATTGACATATGAAGGAATGTCAATTAAACTCACAGGGAACCTCTCACAGGAAACTACACAGACCAGGAGAGAATGGAGTGATATGTTCTAGATCCTAAAAGGAAATAATTGTCGGTCCAGGATAATGTACCCAGTAGAACTTTCCTTTGTCTTTGAAAATGAAATAAAATTCTTCCAGAGTAAGAAAAGTTAAAGGAATATGCCTCTCCAAACCTGCCCTACAAATGATACTTCAAGATATTCTCTTGACAGAGAAGAGGAATAGCACCCACAAAAACTAAAGGCGAATGCAAAGAACATCCCAGCAAAATAGCAACAGAAGAGTAATTAATGAACAACCTATTGCTAAATAACAGGTCCAACTTTCCAAATGTTTACAGTAAATCTGAATGTAAATGACTTAAACACATCAATCAAACATCATAGATATGTAGACTGGATTAGAAAAAACAAAACCCATCTATTTGTTGCCTACAGGAGACATATCTTACCAACAAAGATCAGCAGAAACTATATCTCATGGATTTTTAAATTCCATCTCTTCAAAATACTTTCTTTCTCATTAAATTCTTCACCGACTTACAGATCATATAGTAGCATCACTTTCTTCAAGAAGGTTCTTGATTTTCATTTTCATTGCTTCAACGACACATTAGTCATTCAGTAGCATGTTATTTAACTTCATGCTGCTGTTAATTTCTTTTTTCTTCCTGTTGTTGATTTTGTTTTGTGACTTTTCATTTAAGAGGATATAATAGTAACTGTGTAATGGAGCCTGTCATATCTAGTAACATGTTATTTAACATTATGACATTGTAAATTTCTCTTTTTCTTCCTGTTATTGATTTTGAATTACGGTTTTTCATTTAAGAAGATGTATAGTAACAGTGTAATGGAGACTAACATATCCAGATGTGAGGATACAATGCATTATGCATCTCTACTTCCAGATCAAAGATGAACTTCCAATGAAACTGTTAACTATATCTTGACAATTGGGTTCTGGACTCTCTGCCATTGTCCATGTCTGCAATGATAGACATATGACTGTTTATGAAGAAATATACTATAGTAATAATATAGGGGAACTTAGTGGCGGGGCAAGGGTCTTTGGAAGGGGGTAAAGGGAAATCCCTGGGCCTATGGAACTGTATCATAAAATGATAATAATAAAAAAGAAGTAAATAAAATAAAGTAATCATGGGATTATTTTGAAATTTATTATATATGAGTTAAATTGACATTCCTTCATTTGCTTGTTTATACCTCTTGGTTATATTCCTACTGAACAACAGTCTTTTATTTGTTGAATATGGGGCTTTTATTTGATCGGGATTTTACTCTTTTGACCCTACCTTCAGACCAGAGAAGGTCTCTCCAACAAGCCCTTGAACTTATCTGGACAATAAGATGCTGGACTCTATGCTTGGTATATGCTTACAATGAAGGAATCCCAACTGAACTTGAACTGTGGTTACACAACAAGGTGGAGGAATCCACCATAGGGGAAGGGTTAGGGGCGGGGTGGGGGGAATCCCAGTACCTATAGAACTATGTCTCATAATACAATGTAATCAATAAAGAAAAAAAAAAAAGAAAATAAAAAATGTTACCACAAAAATTCCAAAAGAAAGGAAGGAGTGAGGGGAGCACTGTTAAGAGTTTTACCTATGAACTAAATGAAATTTGTTCTCTTTATATTTAAAAAAATAGCTAAAAATTGTATGCCATTAATATTAGGTTCCCTTGGGATAGAGGGAGATGGTAAGGAAGGAAGAAATATGGGATAATTAATTATATCATCTTAAAACGCAATGAAAGTTTTTTAGAACAGTACCCAATAGAAAGGTTGTATTGGTGATTCCATTTCTACTCCTAGGACAAAATTCAAGTGCAAGATTGTTTGGGAGGATGTCAAATATCATCCTATTTACTACTTAATCATAATAGGTAAAGTTACACAGTGTGTAGTGTAGGAAGAATCACCTGACAACAGCTCAATCAAATGACCAAACTTATAATCACAGGTGGTAAAAACCTGATATAAACACCTCACAAGGTGATGCAATATGAATTACTCAGCAATGAACTATGATGGATCCCTGCCAATGTTTAATCTGAATTACCCATAGTAACTTGCAATTCACAGGAAATAAGACAACTCTGAGGGCATTCTTCAAGTCAACAGTCTTTTAAGGAAAAAAAGAATTGTTATTGGGGAAAAATGGATTGGTTTTTGGTTTCGAAAAGAGTGGAGAAAGTTAACATTCAAACTGCAGTAGGAGATCAGTCATAGGATCCCTGCTCAAAAACGTAGACAACTGGAAAAATCTGAATACTGATTGGACAGGAAGTCATAGAGAATAACTTAATTTTCATAGGTATAATAAATATTGCAGGGTCCTGGCAAGATGACCAATGGATAGTCCTCCCCCTGCAAGAGCTGGGATCCCATATAGGAGCCAGTTTGTGTGCCTGATGCTCCACTTCCCATTCAGCTGTCTGCTTGTGGTCTAGGAAAGCAATAGAGGACCACCACGGAGGAGGCTCCTGGTTCAGATCAGCCCAGCTCCAGCCACTGCAGCCACTTGGGGAGTGAATCAGAAGATGGAAATCTTTCTCCGTCTCTCCTTCTCCCTGTAGATCTGCCTTTCCAATAAAAATAAATACAACTTTTTAAAAAGTTTTGTTGCTACGCAGGAGATACACAGCTTAAGTCTTTAGGACTGAATTATCCTTCAGATTCACAACCTACATTTCCAGCAAAAACAAAATCAGCATTAAACAAGGCACACACACACATATAATATATATACCACAGTAAAGTGCTTGAATCTGAGTATTTGCCATTTGGATCATTCTGTGATTTTTTTGTTGTTGTTGTTCTTCATTTAATAAGAAATTGGAAAAATAAGATGTGCACTGCAAAATCATATCCATTTTTGTGTCTACTTTGATTTACTAACCTCTTAATGATGTCATGAAAAACTGTTTTCTTTTCCCCTTTCCTGAATTTCCCTGGTACTACTTGGTTGAATTTAGCACTTAACTAACATTCTGCCTACACCCCGGCTGGATAAACACATAATGAACACCTAATGAACACCTAATGGGTGGAAGAGTACAGTCAGAATACAGAAATCAAACAACTGAAAATAAAAATGAGGATCTTCATTTGGTAAAAGAGACGGTTCAGCAAGTTAATATTTAAGGGTAAGGCGGCAAAAATTTTAAGATGATAGCAATGACATTGAAAAGTCCTGGGAAATAAGGAGAGTGTTTTCACTTTTGGCTTTAATATGCGATGTTATCCACTTTCACAACAAAATATCTGAACTTGCAGTTTTATTAATCCCCTCATCTTTATACATGCTAAGTTACATCTCTGGACCCTGGCTCCTTTTGGAAGAGAAAGAAGCTTATAAGTAGACTTTGCGGAAAGACAAATGCTTCAGACTCATCTTGCACCCTAATTTCCAAAGACCTCTCCATACCCACCCAGTTTGGCAGTCAAAAAGGTGAAATCTCTTTGCAATTAAACCCGTCCGTATGTCCAAATAACCCGAAGCACAGATACGTTTTCTCTTCAGGATCACCGCTTCCGGAATGATTCACACTCAATTAGCCTAGGTAAAGGTCAAAGACAACCTCAGAGGAACGCTAGTTCTGCAACGCTGCATCCCCGCCCCGGCCGCCCTCTCACCGAGTCTCCGTCCGCCCCTCCCGTCCTTCACGGCCTCCAGGCCCGCCTCGGACCTCCCCGGGACCCGAGGGCTCCCGCGTCCTTTCGGGGTCGGGTTCCCACGGCCGCGCGAACCGCGCAGCGACCCAGCACCACGCCTGCGCCGGCACTGACGCGCGTGCACGCGCCGCTCTCCTCTCAGCTCCCGCCCGCCCACCCGACCCCGCGTCGCCCGGCGGCTCCCCGAGCGCAGGCCTCGCCCCGTCCTCCTGCTGGGCGGGGCCCGACGTCACCTCAACCCGGCCGGGCCTGCCAGCGTCCCTGCGGGGCTTCGGCTGAGCGGCTGCACCGGGCGTCAACATGGCAGTGGCGTTTAGGCGAAGCTGTGGGGTGAGGAGACCGGGGCTGTGGTAGGGTTGGGGATTGGATGCTGTGGGGTTTGGAGAGGGTCCGGTGGGTTCAGAACAGGGGCGCTCCCACAAGGGTAGGGAGCGGTGTTGAGGAAACAGCTGCCCCGGGCTCCGGGTGTCTCCAGGACGCAACCCTGCAGTCCCCACCTCGCCGAGCTCGCTCGCCCGCCGCCTCCTCTCGGCAGCCCGCATCCTCCAGGGCCCTGGGCCTTGTGGGGAAGAGATCCCACCTTCAGAATCGCCCTCCTTTCCCTAGCCCTGGAACCCTACCGCCCTTCGCGCCTTAGAACTCCATACTGCTCCAAGTTTGCGTTCCGGCAAACTTTCCCCCCGCACCCAGCAGCGTAAAAATAAAATAGATGTCACTCTGTAAGTAGGCGTGGTACAAAGTGTGGGATCCAGAGAGTCCTGCGGAACCGTCGCCGAGAAGGAAAGGAAAATGGAAGCCACTGCTCCGTGGGTTTGACACGCTTTTTTTTAGACATGGAAGAGGAAGGTTTAAAAAAAAACCAGCTTCAGGTTTTTATACAATTTCTACCATGTCACAGATTATAAACATTCCACTTGCTAGCTGCATTTTGATATGTTAAGTATTACTAATATCACATGAGATTGCCATTTAAATGTCACTTGAAACCGAACTGAAGTGATGAACTTTGACCCAAAAAAGCTGCAGTTTCAGAATGGAGAGTACTTGCAATGGATTGTTGCCCAGTTTTTTATACTGGATTCCGAAAGACAAAAATTAGCTCTTTTAAACTTTTTGCTGTAACACTAGGAAGAGATTTTTTGGTATCTTTTGAAAGGAGGATGTTGAAAAGCCTGATCCTAGAAGTTAATCCTTTTGTTTTTAGTTTGGTACTAGCATGAAACTAAGATATATATATATTTCGTTTTGGGATTTTTTTTTATAAACTGCTTTTTAAGGTTTTATTTCTATTTTTATCAGAAAGGCTGATATACAGAGAGAAGGTGATACAGGGAGCAAGGCCTTCCACTCCTGCTTCATTCTCCAAGTGGCCTCTATGGCCGTAGCCAGGACTTTCTTCCTGGTGTCCCACATGAATGCAGGGTCCCAAGGTCATGGGCCATCCTCCACTGCTTTCCCAGACCACAAGCAGGGAACTGGATGGGAAGTGAGGCAGCCAGGACAGGAACCTGAGCTCAAATGGGATCCCAGCAGATGCAAGGCAAGGATTTAGCCCCTAGGCTATTGTGTTGGGCTGTAAGACTAATATTTCAAAGAAATATGCAGTAATGATGTTATCATTGCAGAATTGATGCTTGTTTAAATTGCTGTCTTTTGAATATTTGGAAGTCTGTAGTTCTGGGCAGAGAACATAAAGTAAGAAAAACAGTGTTTGTATGACATTAGACTTTCAAAATATTTTAATCATCCTAGATTGCCTAGTGAGATCACTTCCAGGTTTGAATTAAAACTACAAGAGGTTCGTAATCTACCCAACATGGCAAAAATAGTTCTACAGTCAAGTCTTAAATTCAAACTCTAATTCCAGTAATGTTTCTGTATTCTTTTTCTACCAAGCCACCTGTTCAAGTAAATGGCTAACATTATGTGACTAGCAGGATCTTGAGCAATGCTCCCTGGCTGTAGCAATCTTTAACTTTGTCTTGTATAACCTGTTTTATAATATGTAAATTGATACTTTGCAAATTATCGTAGGTCCACTAAATAATCCTAATTTGTTTCTCATTGCGCCATTTTACCTGTTTTACGAGGTCTTATTTTTGTGCAATGGGGCTTAAACAATCAGAATTTGATTTTTTGGTATGATTTTGTAACCTGTTTACGAAATTGGGAGACTAACCGAAAGATCGGTATATGACCATGTTTGATAGCATGGACTTTTTTTTTCCCCAAGGTTTATTTGAAAGGCAGGATTACAGGGAGGGACAGTGGTGGGAGTAAGGAGGGGAGAGAGCCTCTGTATGCTTGTTCACTCCCCAAATGGCCACAGAGGCTGGAAACTTTCTCCAGGTCTCCCACTGGGGCTCAGAGGTCCCTGCAGTTGAGCCTTCTTTCTCTACTCTCCTGGTTGGATTAGCAGGGAGTTGGATCTGAAGCAGAACAGCCAGAACTGGAACTCATGTGCACTTGGGATGCTGGTATCACAGTTGGTTAACTTAACCCACTATGCCTGAAGGCTGACTCCAATAGCATGAATTTTTGATGGTGAATGTTAACGATTCCTGGTTCTGTTAATTAACACAATTATTTCGGCTAATTTTATTTAACCCTGAGCCCCTGTTTGTTCTTTAGCAAAATAGGAATTCACATAACACATTATTCCTAAGGCTTGACCTGAGATGCAGTGAATTAGTATGTGCAGTGTGACTGTAAACAAGACAGGTTTGGACAATGAGGGCCAGGAAGCTATAATTTCTCCTAAAATAAAATTAATGAAAGTGGCAAAGAAAACGTGAGTTTCCATACCATATAATAATATTTTTTTCAAAAGTGTGAGGTATGCTTTTAACTTGAAAGAGCTAATTGAATTATGATATTTAACCATTTAGTTGCAGTGTTACTTTAGCTGTGAATGATTTACTTTCTAAATTGGAATTATAACTGAGGCTGGCGTCATGGCTGTACAGGCTAATCCTCTACCTGCAAGTGCCAGCATCTCATATCAGCATCAGTTCATAGCCTGGCCGTTCACTTCCCGTCCAGCTCCCTACTTTTGGCCTGAAAAGGTAATGGAGGATGGCCAAAAGCCTTGGGACCCTGCACCAACATGGGAGACCCAGAAAACACTCCTGACTTAAGATCAGCCATTGTGGCCACTCAGGGAATGAACCAACAGATGGAAGATCTTTCTCTCTGTTTCTTCTTCAATCTGAATATCTGCCTTTCCAGTGAAAATAAATGAAAGAAAGAAAGGAAGGAAGGAAGGAAGGAAGGAAGGAAGGAAGGAAAGAAGGAAGAAAGAAAGAAAGAAATTATAACCTACAAAGTAGATGGTTTCTTTGCCCAGATTTTTGAAAAACATAGAAATTATATTCTAGAAACTATATATTGTTCAGCTGTTATTTTCTTTTAGTATCTAACTTATCAAAATTGTCAGAATAGTTCCATTAACATCTTTTTTTAAGATTTATTTATTTAAAAGTTGGAGAGAGGGAAGGCTAGAGAGGGAAGGAGAGAGGAAGAGATCTTCCATCTACTGATTTGCTCCCCAAATGGTTAAAACCCTCAAGAGTGGTCCAGGAGGAAGCCAGGAATTTCTTCAATGTCTCCCATAGGGGTACTGGGCCTGAGAACTTGGGCCATCTGTCGCTATTTTCCTAGGCATGTTAGCAGGGAGCTGGATGGAAAGCGGAGCAGCCAAGGCTCAAAACAGCACCCATAGGGAGTGACGGCACTGTTGGCAGCAATTTACGTCACTGCACCACAGCATGCATCAATATCCTTTAAAGCATAAACTATGCGTTTTCTGTCCTCAAACCATGATCAGGAGCACATTAGAATTTCTAGTTTGGATCGCTTCTTGGCCTTTTGGCTAAGTTCAAGTGTAGAATTTCTAGTTTGGTAACTTTAACAAATCCAGGTGGTAACTTTTGTGTCAATAAAGTTATCATGAATATAAAATTTGATTTGAAAGGAAATGTGTGGCAGATTCTACTTAAAATTTTTTTTTTTTTTTTTTTTTTTTTTACTTTTATTTGAAAGACAGAGTTACAGAGAGAAAGAGCTCCTCCATCCATTGGGTCACTCCCCACTCTCAATGGCCAAAGCTGAGCTAATCCAAAGCCAGGAATGTCTTCTGCATCTCCCACATGGGTACAGGTGCCCAAAGATTTGAGCCATCCTCCTGTGCCTTCCCGAGCCACAGGTGTGGAGCTTGTTGGGTGGTGGAGCAGCTGGGATACAGACCTGCTCCCATGTGAGATGCTGGTGCCACAGAGGCCTAACCAGCTGTGTCACGGTGCCAGATCCAGATTGTACATTTTAAAATTTTCTTTTACATAGACATGGGTAAGGCAAATAGCATTGTGTAGTCTGCAATGGGCTTGGCAAACTTTTTTTTTTTTTTAAGAAAGGAGAATATTTTTGGCTTTGGGACCGTATGGTTCCTGTGGCAGTTGCATAGTGTAGCCCTGAAAGGAGCAGGAGACAATACGGGATGGCTGTGTTCCTGTAAACTTTTATTAAGAAAACTTGTGGCTGCTGTAGATTGCTGACCTCTGGTTTACAGGACTGTAAAGATGCTCATGGACAATACCTGAAAATACAGGACATGGCTTTATGATATAATTTGCTTTATTAAACAGTGCAAGGCACGCAGGGACAAGTTATTAAAGTTAGTGGTGTAGCAGTTCTTGAACTCAGTGCAGACCATCCGGTTCCCTTCTCACCTGATCACCAGTGTCCTCAGAGCTTCTGGGGGACATTTCCAAAATGGTCACCGCTAGCCTTCCCGCACTCTCTGTCGTTCGTCCCGTGAGCGTCCACTTCAGTAGTGCCGAGACACCTGTTAATCTTATTTTCCTTTTTTTTTTAAATCTATGATATTCTAAATATTGTTGGTTGGTATATTTGTATAGAAGGCATTTAAGTAATAATGACTGGTAAAACAGTACCCTTGAGTGTAATTAAAGAAGTTGCTGAGCCCATAATTCCAGTGTTCTCTTAACAACAGATGTTTATCAAGTTTATTTTAACAAAGTTGTTTCTTACAGGTCTTGAGAAATATTTCTCGCATTGATTGGAGATTGCAGCACACAAAAGCAGTCCCAAAACATGAACCAGGATTAGGATTTAGTTTCGGTATGTTATATTTTTTTTACTTTACTTTGTTATACACATGAAAATGTATACCACCACCCACAGACTCTTAACCCTCACACTGGTTCTTTCTAATCTTTTTTCCTTCTGTAGGTTACACTGTATGTTAGACCCGTGTTAGAGCAAACATATCGGTCTTCTCTTTTCCCAGAATACATGTAGTCCAAAATAAATGACAAGTGTGCTGGTGTATATGGATAAACTTCAATTTACACATGGGTATATATGTGTGTGTGTATATATACTTTTAAAACACTCCTCAGTGGTTTCTTTACTGGCACAGCAGTTAGGTAGCTATCTGTGACACCCCTCTGCCTTTCCAATAACTTAAGATAATTAATTTCAAAAATCCATTCCTCAGATACACAGTGCTAGGTGTTCAGTAGCAAGAATGAAGAACCCCTTTTCCTGCCAATTACCATTCGGACATTTGGATATTTATAACATCATTCATAGGCTATATAGAATTAATTACAGTAATTAAAAAATTATCCTGCTGTGGATTTATTGAATTATGATTATTGCTTGCAGTTCTCTTTTTCTTTTCTTTTTTTTTTTTTTTTTTTTTTTTAGAGCCAGACCAAATTTTTTTCTAGGGCCTTATGTGGCCCATGTGGTGGGTGTTTTACACCCCTGAAGCAAAAGCCTCTTTTGGCCATAGTTACTGAACTGCAACTTTTGTGCTAATAGATGATGTTCACAGTCCTGGGCTTAGGAAGCCACATCGGACAGACTGCTTTATCTTTAGAAAATGAAAATCTCAAGCCACTGGTTTTAAATAATCATTCCTATCTTTGTCATCCTTTGCTGCTTTTTATAAAAATAAGATTTATGTCTATTTAGTTTTTATTTGAAAGACAAAGTTACAGATATAAAAAGAGACAGAGAGAGCGATCTTGTGGTGGCTCCCTCTCCAAATGGCTACAATGGCCAGAGCAAGGCCAATCTAAGGCAAGGAACCGGGAGCTTCCTCCTGATCTCCCATGTTGATTGCAGAGGCCTAAGAACTTGGGCCGTCTTGTACTGCTTTCTCAGGCTGTTAGCGGGGAGTTCGATACAAAGTGGAATACCTGGGACTGAGCAGGCACCTAATATGGATGCTGGCTCCATGGGCAGAGACTTAATGTGCCATACCGTGGCACCAGCCCCGATTGTTCACCTTCTAAGTTCATCTTGCTCCCAAATTTTGACTTTTCCTTTAGTTAAAAATGCATTGGTTTATTTAATCTCAAAATATACTTAAAAGGCAGCTTGGTGAACTCACACATGGTAAGAATGTATTATTTTTGTTTTATTCTTACAGATTTTTTTCTTTCTTTAGCCTTTTTTCTGAGCATTAGTAGAAAATTTGCGAACACTACAAGGAGAGATGGCATTGATTTGATGTGATTGCTGTTCAGTGTGACAGAGTTAATTTCAAGTGATTGGGAAAGAGATTATGAAGCTCAAGTACAGGAATAAGCAGATAATATCTATGCTCACTTGATCTTGTTAAAATTAGGATAATATCTATAATATAATTTCTCTGATAATTAAGTTATATGCTGTATAGGTGCTCCCTAGTGCATGGTAAGTGTATCAAAGTAGTTTCATACTAAATAATTCATGATTGATCCCTTTATCTGTCTCCAACCTCGATGTTGTCTTGGAGGTAACGTACTGATATAGAGAGCACTGGACTGAAACTGTGGAGTTATCATTTCCTTACTTTGTGCCGCAGTGTTTATGCTATTCAATTTATTATCTTTTACATGTTACTTCTCATATTCCTATGAAAATGATTGCTCTGGTTATTTATGTACTTTGAGGTACCTTGCATTATGGCACTGTAGTTAAGCTGCTGCTTGGAACACAAAGTTCAAGTCCCGCCTCTGCTTTTGATTTAGCTTACTACTGTTGTGCACCCTGGGAGACAATAGGTTGTAACTCTAATCTGTCCCCTGCCACCTATGTGGGACCCAAGTAGAGTTCCCAGCTCCTGACTTGGGCCTGACTCAGTCTCAGCTTTTGCATCCATTTGTGGAGCAAACTAGCAAATGAAAGATATCTCTCTTGTCTCTGCTTTGAAATAAACAAAAATAAATAAAAAACGTATAATGCGTTTATTTATTTTATTTGAGAGGTAATCAGGTTGAGAAGTCTCCCATCTGCTTATTTACTTCTCATGCTTCTGCTAGGGGATTCCAGGATGAGGGTAGGGAGAGTGCTTGCAAAGCCAAAAACCCAGGTAGACTTGCACTGTCTCCCATGTTGCACATTAGCAGGAAGTTGGAGTCAGAACTAGTACCCAGTTGCTAACACAGAAGATGCAGGTCTTTGCCTGAGATATACAATGATTCGTTTAATTTTACCTATTCTTTGACTTGGGGATGCAACCACATTAAGGCACTAGTTAAAGGACTAAATGCAATTAAGAGCTGCTATTGTGGTATAGCAAGTTATGCTGTTGCTTGTAATGTTGGCATCCAGTATGAGTGCTGGTTCCAGTCTTGGTTGCTTCTTTCCCAATCCATCTCCCTGCTAATATGCCTGAGAAAGCAACGGAAAAAAATTTCTTGGACTCCTGCCACACATGGGGGAACCTGGATGGAGACAACAGCCTCTGGCCTGTCTCAGCCCGTACTATTGGTGCCATCAGGGGAATGAACCAAAGGATGGAATGTCTCTGGCTATCTCTGGAACTTTGTCTTTCAGATAAATAAAACAAATCTTTGGAAAAATACGCAATTCATGATCAGCTAATCTCTTCAATCCAGCTACTTATTCATTTAATTAAGTTTATAATAATCCTTAATATAAATTTGGATACCTCTTATTAGGATTACATCAGGATTTTATTACTGTTTTGTGAAAATCAAGAGCTGAAGTGCCGTTTTAAATATAAAACTTCTATATGCCATCTTATGAGACTTTTCCCTCAACTTACTGTCCTATTTTAATTTTTTCTAAATAACTTTCCCTTAGGATTGACTGAACAGCAGAAAGAATTTCAAGCTACTGCTCGTAAATTTGCAAGAGAAGAAATAATTCCAGTTGCTGCAGAGTATGATAGAACTGGTGAAGTAAGTTTATATATTTTTAGAAAAGACTTTTATTGTTTTAATAAGATCATTTAATAAAACTATCTAGATTTTAAATATAACTTTTTTTTTCTTTTAGTATCCTGTCCCACTAATTAAAAGAGCCTGGGAACTTGGTCTAATTAATACACATATTCCTGAAAATTGTGGTAAGTTTAATGCAACTTCAAGAAAAACCCAGGAAACCCTACTCAGTTGGTAACAAAGGACTTGCTTGTTTTATCTCCGTATTCAGGCTCTGTATTTTATATTTTATTGAAACTATTTTTTTTAGGACTGTCATTTTTCCTAGCACTGGTGGATCAAAATTTTAACATAACTGAAGTATGTTTTTACTAAAATCTGATTTAATTAGGAATATGGGGCAGATTACAAATAGTGAGAGTCTACTGAATATTTTAAGATTTATTTTAGAAAAGTATAATGTGTTTTGCAACGCCAGCCAGAACACCTATAGACATTATATTTATAAATCTTTTGAAATAAATGAGGTATATTGGAAGTGATTAAAATTGTTCATTTTTATTTCTGTTGAGATACACTACATATTATCATGGGCTCATAAAATATTTTGATACTGTAGGAGGTCTTGGACTTGGAACTTTTGATGCTTGTTTAATTACTGAAGAATTGGCTTATGGATGTACAGGGATTCAGACTGCTATTGAAGGAAACTCTTTGGGGGTAAGTTTCTTAGAAAATAAATTACCTTAGCTGTTGTTAATGAGATAATTACTGCCAGGTTAGGTTAACTGGTAAAACAGGTTGGGTTTTTTTGTTTTTTAATGTAACAAAATATTTGGCAGCAAAATCTGCTAGTTTTGATTCTGAGGTTTGACACTGTGCTACTTTAATTCCCAGTATGTGGAGTGCTATTTTTGCTTGTAAGCAAATAGTATGCTTTGGCTGAAGCTCCAGGGAAATTCTTAGACAAGGGCAAAGCCTGAGGCCAGCCTTGGCAGGTGGCTTGCTGCAGCCCTATTAGTGCTGAGAGTTAGTGAGCAATTCTTAGGAGGCCTGATCATTTGGACCATGTCACATATCCCAAATTTAATTTTCTATTTGTGTTTTACTGTTGTAGCTGTTTACATATTTTTGCATGGTTTTAGCTCTTTAACTTACATAGTAAAGGTCGATTCATGGCTTTTGGTGTAAAGTCATTCTTTTTTGTTTTGGATTATGTATCTAAATTTATATATCTCTAAACTTATCTATTTGACAAAAATATTTTTGCTGCTTTTAATGTCAATTACCTTTGGTAGGAAATGCCTGTTATTATTGCTGGAAACGATCAACAAAAGAAGAAATATTTGGGAAGGATGACTGAGCAGCCACTGATGTGTGTGAGTATGCCTAGTGCTGCTTTACTTCACCTGTAAGAATGGAACAAAGGTGCTACTTCTTTCAATTTGTTACTTTTCAGTGTTACTCAAACTGTTGTGCTCCCAAAGATATGAGTAGCTAGCAGTAAGAGCAAAGAAGCCTGATCTGAGTATCCTCACCACTGGCAGCGTATCCTTGGAAACTAGTTCTTTGGACACAATTGGTTGAAAAAGCTGATCTGGGCCTAGCCACCCTGTCTGCTTCCTTGCTCCCCGCAGGATTCTTCCTCCTTATCCACTTCACCACTGCCATCCTCTAGCTTCACCAATCAGTGGGGACCTGACTGGTCTTAAACTGTGAACCTCTGAGACTGTGAGCCAAGATAAATTTCTTTCATAAATAGCTTGTGCTAGATATTTGTTGTTGTAACAAAAGCTGATGGATACAATAGGCAAATAGAGGGTTAGAAATTAAGACAGAAGTTAGCAACATATTTATGCACAGTGATGTTCCTAGGGTGCCAAAAGATATAGTAATCCCCTTGTTTATTCTGGGGGTGAGAGAATCTACTTCGATGTTTCTGAGTTGACAGAAAAGTGTCATAATTGTCCCCTTATTTCTAATAGAGATTTATCTGCTTAAAAGAGCATACATTTTTATTTTGTTTCTTAATTTATTTATGTATTGAAAAGTAAAGTTATAGAGAGGGAGAGAGATCTTCCACCTGCTGGTTCACTCCCCAGATGGCCACAACGCTACTGGGCAAGGCTGAAGCCAGGAGACAGGAGCTTAATCTATGTCTCCCATGTGGTTGCGGGAGCCCGAGTGCTTGGGCTGCTTTTCTGAAGCCATTAGCAGGGAGCCGGATTGGGAGTAGAACAACTGGAACTCAGACCAGCACCAATTGCAACCTTGCAAGCAATAGCTTAACCAGATGTGCAACCATGCCAGGCCCTTATTGGATCATTTCGTAATTCATGAACTGAATGGTTGTATCAAGAAGTTCAGACTAAATGGAAGACAATAGGAATTTGCATTAGACAGAATAGGTATCTTTTGAATTAGTGAAAAATTGATGTGAACACATGACAGAAGAGATACCAACTTGTTTGTTGAATGAACTACTTGGGGGAAGAAAAGACTTTTTTTTTTAGATTTATTTATTTTTATTTATTTTTATTGGAAAGTGAGATACACAGAGAAGAAGAGAAATAGAGAGGAAAAGAAGAGAGATAGAGAGGAAGAGAGATAGAGAGGAAGATCTTCCATTCACTGAGTCATTCCCCAAGTGGCTGTAACAGCCAGAGCTGAGCTGATCTGAAGCCAGGAGCCAGGAGCTTCTTCTGTATCTCCCACACGGGTGCAGAGTCCCAAGGCTTTTGGCCATTATTGACTACTTTCTCAAGCAGACGAAAGAAGCTGGATGGGAAGTGGGGTTGCCAGGATTAGAATTGGTTACCATCTGGGATCCCAGAGCATGCAAGGTGAGGACTTTAGCTACTAGGCTACCACACTGGACCCTGGAAAAATACTCATAAATTTTATTTAAATATTTGAGAGTGATTCAGTGAAAAAAAAATTGATTATTTATTTCACAGAGAAAACAAGCTCTTGTTTTATGATTCACTCCCCTAAAAGCACACGGTGATTTAGGCTGGGCCAAGATTAAAGCTGGGAGCCAAGGACTCAGCCTGGTCTCCTATGTGGATGTCATACATGATCTACCACTGCTGCTTCCTCAGAGCTGCACTGGTGGGAAACTGGAATCAGGAGCTTTGCATGGGGTGTGAGCATCTTAACTACCAAGCTGAAAGCCCATTCCTAAACTGGAGTTCTTCAAAAAGTACTTCTGTTAGCAAACTGTGTTTTTCTTATTGTGAATAAGTTGAAGAGATTTCAATGTAAAACACAATTGTGGTGCTGAATTATAATGGATTGTCATTAGTTTTGTGCTAATAGTGAGAGTTTGTTTCAGAGCAGAAAATAATACTAAAAAATAACTGTTTTTTTTTTTTTTACTTATTTCACATACTAAAGTATAAACAGACTGCTTAAGAAAGGCATTTATATGTAGTCCCTGGTTGTTATTTGTTTTGAACACTGAATGTTTAGGCTAAATGCTCTCAATATTATTTAAGAATTATGTGAAACACCTGGCTTTTCTTTCCCATACTGCGAGTCTTTAAAAATAGTTTCTCGTGATTTGATTTGGCAGTCTTTTTCTTAATATTTTCATATGTGTTCATTTGTAAATTGTGGATTAATTAAAGTTCCTAGGTTGTCATATCTTTTTAATTAATACAATGTTACCATACTTTTTGCTTGTTCTTATGAAGTCAAGATGAACATTAAACTTGTCAATAGGTATATGAACTGTAGGTTTTGATAAATTCACAATGAATACATTGATCCCAGTATTTCTTTAAACTATATTGCACAAAAGACTGCTTGTAAAATTTTTATCTTTTCTGATTATAAAATATTTAGTATAAAACAAAAATATATAATCCCTGTCTGTTGCCTGATTGTGCATGTCTTACTGCCCTATTGTGTTACTATTGAACTGGTACGTAGTTTACGTTTTTTTAATTTATTGTTTTTTTTTAAGATTTATACATTTATTTTTAAGTCAGAATTAAAGAAAGAAAGAGGTATTTTCTATGTGCTGGCTCACTGCCTAAATGGGTGCCAACTACTCAAAGCTGTGCTCTTATGGGGTGCTAGCATTGCAGGAGATGGTTATAATGCCAGCCTCCATATATTGTTTTTAAGAATTAAGATTATATTTTTCATGTATGCAGTTTTTTATCCTTTGATATTTAATGTCATAAATATTTTACATAGTGTATTTTTTAAATGCTGTGATACTACTGTTTAATATCTTATGATTGTAAAATATTTGACTATGTTGCATTGTTGACTATTTAAACTTAATAGACTTTTGCTTTTAAAAATAATGTCTAGAGGCTAGAGTGGCAGTATAAATATCTAATCCTTTGCCTGTGGCTTTGGCATCCCATATGGGCACCAGTTCATGTCCCAGCTGCTCTACCTGATCCAGCTCCCTGGTTTGGGCCTTGGGAGGAAGGCCTAACTCCTTGTGACCCTTCACCCATGGGGGAAATCCCAAGAGATGCCCTAGTCTCCTAATTTCAGACTGATTCAGCTCCAGCCATTGTAGCCATTTGGGGAGCAAATCAGCAGATGAAAGTTCTCTTTCTCTGTATCTCCTTCTTTTTGCAAATCTACCTTTACAATAAAAATAAATAAATCTTAAAAAAAAGTGTTGGTAAAATTTAAGACCTAAAAATTACAGGATTTTGATTTTAACTTAATATACAGAGATGTCGGATGTGAAGGCGATCTGGTTGCGACATCTGTCACCCCATTGATCGCCAGGGTTGATTCGGCTGATCTGGCTGGCTAGGCGGTTGTCTCCTTCCTCCCTCACTGCTCCTTGTGCGACCCTCCCAAAGCTGCGCGCTCGGTCGAAGAGAACAATCATCCCTGCTAGAGGAGGACCGGTCTTTGGTCAAGGGAATACAAATAGAACCTCCAAACAAGCTCTCAAGATTCTAATATACAGAGATGTCTGTTTTTGTATATCAGTAAAATCAATTTGATCAGCTAGTAGATATCAGATATACTCACAATTAGATATGCTGTTTCTGAGGAAGAGCTGAGATAAAGACATCTCTGTAATTTTTAATTGCTACTTAATGCAAAGAAAAATTTGTATATATAGTATTAAAATAAAAAATATTTTATTTTTTAAAGGGTAAGTTAAATCTTTTTAAAATAGTGTAGTATTTGGCTATCTTATATAGTATTGGACTAGTAAAACCAAGTATTAAACTTTTGAACAAAATTTTATAAATAAGAAGACTTTGAGTAAAACACTACTCATCAAAGTGTTAGAACCCAGAAATCTATGCACACAGCCTAATACTGAAGAAAATTCCTTTCATAAAGCCATGTATTTCCCTTGGGGCTAGGAACACCTGCAATATAACTGAATCGACACTGAGCCTCTGGTCCTAAGACCTGACTTTAATTCTTTACTCAATCTTAAATGAGTAGCATAATTACTTAAGTCTTCTGAATTGCTTAAGTCTTCTGAAAACGAGAGTACAACACTTCCATGGGAGATCTGGATTAAGCTGCGGTTCCTTGCTTCATGTAGCATCAGACTTGACTGTTTTGGGCATTGGGGAGTGTATCAGAATATGGATGCACTCTTTTTCCTTTTGCCCTTCATATTAAAGAACATGAAAAAAGTAATTTAATGAACTTAGTTGAAGACACTTAGCATTTTAATTTTATATGGCTATGGGTATCCTATACTCGATTTTATTTATTTCCGTATTGTTTGAAAGACAGATATATTTCATGTGCTGGTTAACTAGCCAAATACCTGAAACACCCAGCGTTAGACCAGGTCAAAGCCAGGAGCCCAGAATTCTCATCCATTTGTCCTGCATGGATGGCACAGACCCAGGTATAGTGAGCACATGAGAAAGACTTGGACCATAGCAGAGCAGCACTCTGATGTGGGATGTAGGCATCCCAAATAGCATCATCACTGCCTCATCAAAGCCCATCCTTAGTTTTAATCAGTATATTGAATGTGCTTACCTTCCAATGCTTTGAAAGGCATGTTAACTTTAGTCATTTTGTAGTATGAGCTTACATAAAATGACAATCCTTGTTTAAATGTTCAGAATTTTAAAATTAACATCTGATTTTTTTTCTTGTTTCCTTTTATTGTAGGCCTATTGCGTAACCGAACCTGGAGCAGGCTCTGATGTAGCAGGTATAAAGACCAGAGCAGAAAAGAAAGGAGATGAGTATATTATTAATGGTCAGAAGATGTGGATAACAAATGGAGGAAAAGCTAATTGGTATATTGTTTAAATTTCTCTATACAATTTTCCTTTAGTTTTTATTTAGATTATTTCCTTTTACAATTTATTTGAAAGGCAGAAAGAAAACTTCCATGCACTAATTCATCCCTCAGACACGAGCGGCTAGACCAGGTAAAAACCCTGAGACTAAAAACAATGTAGAGCTGTTACTGTGAAGGGTAGAGACTCAGGTGTTTGGACCCTCCCCTACTGACACTCAGTGTATGCACTATGAGGAAGCTGCAGTCAGGAGGGGAGCCAGGACTCGAACCCAGGTACTCTGACATGGGCTACTTACTTTTCATTAATTTGAAAGGCAGAGAGACAGACAACTTCCATCTTCCACCTCAAATAGAGTAAGGAGGCCAGGGCCAGGTTGCAGCTAAGTGCTGGGAACTCAGTCCAGGTCTCCAGCATTGGTGTTGAATACTCAACGGCTACCGTCTGTTTTCCTGAGTGTGCCATAAGAGGATGCTGGACTGGAAGTAGAGGCAGGACACTAGCCAGGCACCCCAAGATAAGATGTGAGCTTACCAAGCAACAGTGACTTCAGCTACTGTGCCACAATGCCCATTAATTACTTTACAGTCAAAAATTTTCTTGTCTTCTTTAGTTAAGTTAATTTGTAAAACATTGATTTATTTGTTTATTTTGGAAGCAGAGCAAAAGAGAGGGAAAGGCAAAGAGAGACGGATTTTCCTGAGCTGGTTCAGTCCCTAAATTTCTGCAAAGACTGAGGCCAGGCCAGGACAAAGCCAGGAGCCTCAAATTCCATCCGAGTCTCCCACATGCGTGATAGGGGCCCAGATACCTGGACCATCTTCCACTGCTTTTGCAGGCCCATTAGGAAGGAGCTGTATTGGAAATGGAGCAACCAGGACTTCAGTTGGCACTCACATGGATGCCGATGTTGTAAGTTGCGGCTTACCATGCTGTGCTGTAATGCTGCCTGCTTCCTTTTATTCTTAAACCACCACAAATAAAGTATGGTATGTTTATGGAACTACCACGTTTACAAAAAGTCACAAATAATTCAGTGATCTTAGAAACTTCTTTAAGCTCCTAAACTATTTCTTCGGTATAACTCTTAGATTCATGTCTACAACATAAATGCCTTCTCTGGTTGAGCCTGATTAAAAAGGCCAGCATTCCAACTACACTGCCTGTTACCTCCCTGCACTCATCATTTCCTTCCCCAGAACCTCCTTGTAATGCCTAAGTCTCTGAAGGAAAGGAAAAGTCATTGTCATAGAACATTTCTGTAATTCTCAGAAATAAGTGGAAGCAATCTTAAAAATCAAGTTACACTGTAGAGAAGTCCAAATATAGAGGTTCCAAAGATAATGATATGAAGTTCTACAATTTATCGAAAATCACCTGTGCAAATATAAAATGTTTGAGAAAAACATTTGATTATTTTTTGAGAAAAGGATCAATAGTGTTATATATCAGCCTTTAGAAAGCTGATGTGGCATGGGTGTTTTGTCTAGTGCATAAGATGCTAGTTAGGAACCTTGCATCCCATCTCAGTATAGCTGAATTAAATATCCAGCTCTGAAATAATGCTAGCATCCTGTATAATACATTTTAAAACATGTATTAGAAAAGCAGAATAAATCCAGAAGCAGGTAAGTGACCTACTATAAGAGAAACCTACAAAATATGATGTAAGGAAATGGGTTCGGTTATTTTGGAAGAGTTTTGAATGTTGTCAAATAATCAACATGGAACAAACAAGCTGTGTGTTTATTTCAGGGAGCCTGTTTAGAATTCCTGGCTGGAAATCAGAAACATGCAGAAGTCTTATTTATTGCTTTTGTTTATTTATTTACTTTTATTGATTTGAAAAGCAGAAAGAAAAAGAGACACCCTGTATTCAGTCTCCTCAAGTACCCACAAAAACCAAGGATTAGACATGCCAAAGTTAGGAGTCTGAAATTCCATTCCCATCTCCCACCTGGGTGGCAAAGCATAAGTCCTCGACCCATCACCTCTTGCCGTCCTGGGTGTGCATTAATAGGAAGCTGGGTCAGAAACAACAAATCCAGGCACTCTGAAATGGGACCCAGGTGTCCAATGTAGCGTCTTAATCATTGTGCCAAATATACATACATACATATATATATGATTTATTTATTTTTATTGGAAAGTCAGATTTACAGAGAGAAGGAGAGACACAGAGAGCGATCTTCCATCTGCTGATTCACTCCCCTTGTAGCAACAACAACCAGAGCTGAGCTGATCTGAAGCCAGGAGCCAGGAGGTTCTTCCAGGTTTCCTACACGGGTGCAGGGTCCCAAGGCTCCAGGCCATTTTCGAATGCTTTCTAGGCCACAGGAAGGAGCTGGAAGGGAACTGGAGCACCCAGGATGCGAACCAGCACTCATGTGAGATCCTGGCACATTCAAGGCTACCACTCCACGCCCTTGCCAAATATTTTATGTATGTCCTGTTTAATGAAGTGGCATATCATTTTTAAGCAATTAATCACAATAAAACCAGGCAAAAATAGAAGTAACTATTAAGAAACTTAATATTTCATAGGAAATCTTAACAGCATAATTTTGTTAAGTTGTTATAGTTAAAAAAAAGTCTTGGGGCCAGCACTACAGTTCAACAAACCAATCCTTCACTTGCTAGCACCAGTATGCCATATAGGTATGACTCGCATTATGGCTGCTCCACTTCCAATCCATCTCCCTGTTTGTGGCCTGGAAGACAATAAAGGATGGCCCAAAGCTTTGGGACCCTGCATCCACATGGGAGAGCCCGAAGAAGCTCCGGCTGCTGGCCGCTGCCTCCAGATCGACTCCAGTTGTTGCAGCCATTTGGGGAGTGAACCAGCAGGCAGAAGATCTGTCTCTCCTAGTATCTGTAATCTGCCTTTTTAAATAAAAATAAAATAAATCTTAAAAATAGTTTTAAACTTATATTCAAGCTATTTTTATATAAAAGTAAACCTGGAAAAAAAAAGAGGAAAGTTCAGAGATTTATCTGCTGCTTCATTCTCCTAAAACTCAGTCTGCATCTTCTGCATGGGCGGCAGAGATCCAAATGAGGGAGCCATGCTTGCTGCCTCTCGGTGTACATCAGCACAAAGCCAGCTTGGAAGCAGAAAAGCTAGGGCTCAAACTAGCAACTCTGCTGTGGAATGCAGGTATGCTGAGCCAGGACTTACCCATTGCCCCAAACGCCAGTCCCAAAGTTCTCACACTTTGCAGAACTGTTTATAACTCTTAACTAGAGAGTGAATATTTATTAGATTTGAGGAAATAAAATGTTGTTAATTTGTTTTTTAAAGGAAAAATGTATCTTTTAAAAACTTTTTATTATTATTTTTCTTATTACAAAGTCAGATATACAGAGAGGAGGAGAGTCAGAGAGAAAGATCTTCCGTCCAATGATTTACTCCCCAAGTGAGCGCAATGGCCATTGCTGCGCCAATCCAAAGCCAGCTGCCAGGAACTTCTTTCCAGGTCTCCCACAGAGGTGCAGGATCCCAAAGCTTTGGACCATCCTCAACTGCTTTCCCAGGCCACAAGCAGGGAGCTGGATGGGAAGTGGAGCTACTGGGATTAGAACTGGCGTCCATATGGGATCCTTGCGAATTCAAGGCTAGGACTTTAACCACTAGACCATGCCACCAGGCCCCAAAATGTACCTTTTTTTAAAAAGTTTTCTATACAGGACAAATGAAGTATGATATGCATGAATGGATATTTTGCATTTCTTTCATGTTTTATTAAAAAGCATTTCTGAGAAATAATCCTACAAGAGGGACAAACCAGCAAATATGTAATAATTCAGTTAGAATGTCAATACTTGCTTCTCTGCATAAGCAAAAAAGTAATCAGAACCTTGAGAGTTTGTCACAGCAGCCCTGCTTGCCCAGCTTTCAAATATATTGTCCCTCAAAGAATAAAGTTAGTTTTGGATAAGAAATAGTGCCATTCTTCAACATGCAGATTTTCCCTTTATTTTAGTTATCTTCTTACAGAGAACTTTTATTTATAACTCATAGTAACAAAAAAAAAAAGTTGAAAGATAAGCTCACCCCATACTAGATAAGTGTCTTGGGCAGCTACTCATCCAAAAAATGAGGGCAATGTAGTTGGGATTGTTGGGAGAATTAACTGAACTAGTGGTCACCATGTGTTGTGGCTGTATAGTGACTACCATTGTACATCTTTCGTCAGGTATTTTTTATTGGCACGTTCTGATCCAGATCCTAAAGCTCCTGCCAGCAGAGCCTTCACTGGATTTATTGTGGAAGCAGATACTCCTGGAATACAGATCGGAAGAAAGGTGAATCTATAGTTATCAGTGGTTAGTCCTCAAGTTCTATCTTAACTAGAAATTCCAAAATTACTATTTCAGCTACCTTTAATGAAAACATTTTGTCTCAAGTTGGAATAAAAATAAAAGTTTTTTTCGATGTCAGGTGAAATAGTTTACATGTTGTTGGAGATTTTAAGGTGAGAATAATCATTTTAAATCATATTGAGAGTTACTTATAATAGTGCCAATCTGGAGAAAGTACTAATGGCCATGAGGGACAGTGAAGGTGAGAGTCAAGCCATTATTTATGTTATTTGCTCAGTAAAAACAAATAACATAGATATTTAGATTTAGATATTTTGGTTAATCTTCCCACTCTTTCGCCTTTGGATCCTCACAGAAATGTGTTAATAAAATAAATGGCTTTATACTTGTTGTATGGATTGAAACGATGTGACATAAATGGATTATCAAAGGTCATACAATAGTAAGAGGTGTATTTGTTCCTGAGAAAAGAATATGAATGGCAAAGAGCCCTGAATCAAGAAAGGCAAGAAAAGTGTTTATATATAAGAAAAATTAACATATTAGAAAAGGCATAAGGTGAATGGCTAATTTAACATTTAGAAAATAAAACATCTAGAAAATAAAAACTGGACAAAAAAGAAGCAAAATGCAATAAAAACGGTAGTCTTAAGTGTGAGCTAACAAATCATGATTTAAGATTGTAAGTCAAGATAAGAAGAGGAAATTTGATTTACAACTTTAAATATGTTGCAAAATACATTTTTACAAAGGGTAAGTATCAGGGTGTAGCCATTCAATCTGCTGACTGTGACACCTGTTTCCCATACTGTAGTGCCAGTTCAAGTCCTAGCTGCCACTTCATAATCTAACTTCATGTGCCTGGGAGGGTAGTGGATGATGGCCAAGAACTTGGTCCTTGCCACCTGAGTGGAGTTCCTGAGTCCTGGTTCTACTTGGCCCAGCCCTGGCTCATGGAACAGTTTGGGGGAGTGAAATGGTATATGGGGAGATGATTGTTGCAGCAGTTAAATCCTTGCTTGGGGCACCTGCATATAGTGTCAGAGTTACTGGTTCAAGTTCCACTACTCTGCTTCTAATCAAGTTTTCTGCTAATGTGCACCCTAGCAGGCAGCAGGTGATGGCTCAACTCTTTGGATCTGTGCCACCCATGTGGGAAACTTATCCTAAGTTTTACGCTCATGGCTTAACCTGGCTAGGACTTAGCTATGGCAGCCTTTTGGGGAATGAACTAGCATATGAGAAATATTTCTCACTCTGCCTTTCAAATATATAAAATAAGTCTTTAAAAATAGGCAGAGCAGGGCCCGGCATGGTGGCCTAGTGGCTAAAGTCCTCACCTTGAATGTGCTGAGATCACATGTGGGCGCTGGTTCTGATCCCGGTAGCCCCACTTCTCATCCAGCTCCCTGCTTGTGGCCGGGGAAAGCAGTCAAGAATGGCCCAAAGCCTTGGGACCCTGTACCCAGGTGGGAGAACCGGAAGAGGCTTGTGGCTCCTGGCTTTGGATTGGCACAGCACTGGCCATTGCTGTCACTTGGGGAGTAAACCAGAGGACAGAAGATCTTCCTTTCTGTCGTCTCTCCTCCTCTCTGTATATCTGACTTTGTATTAAAAACAAATAAATGTTTAAAAAAAATAGGCAGAGCGGTAAAAGAGTGGGGGCAGTGCACAATAGCCTAGTGGCTAGAGTCCTTGCCTTGTATGAGCTGGAATCCCACATGGGCAATGGGCACTGGTTCGTGTCCCAGCTGCTCTGCTTCCCATCCAGCTTCCTTCTTGTGGCCTGGGAAAGTAATCAAGGAGAGCCTAGAGCCTTGGGACCCGGCACCCACATGGGAGACCCAGAGGAGGTTCCTGGCACCTGGCTTCAGATCAACTTAATTCCGGTGGTTGCAGCCACTTGGGAAGCGGTGAATCAGTGGACAAAAGATCTTTTTCTCTGTTTCGCTTTCTGTCTGTCTCTCCTCTCTGTATATCTGCCTTTCCAATAAAATAAGTAAGTCTAAAAAAAAAATCATGATACCTACAAATTCTTCTGGAATGATTCAGGACAGGAAAAAAAGTGACAGGGGACAGCAAATGCATTAAAATGTCAACAGCTGATGAATCCAGTTAGAGAACATATATAAGTGTGGATGGATCACACTGTATTCATAAGTTTATAATGTTTGGGAATTTTTGAAGCAAAAAGTTGAGAGAATATAGTTATTAGCACTTTCTTATTAAAATAAAATACATAATACATGTTCAGTTCTCCTAGGTACTCACCAAAGAGAAATGCAAATAAAGACTCATACATAAATATTTTATAGCAACTTTATTAATAACTAGAAAAAGCTGCACTGGTACATGAAATATATGGTACGTCCCTGTAGTGCAATATTACTCAGCAGTGAAAGAAATGAATTATTAACCATACGACAAACATGCATCAGTCTGAAAAGGACTTTGCTAAGTGAAGTTACCCAGAGAAGGATGACCTTACTCACGTGACACGCTGGAAAAGGAAAAATTGTTTGGTAAGAAGTCAGGTCATTGGTTTCAAGGTACAGAAGTAGAGTAAGGGAACTGACTGTAGAGGGAGAAGTTGTAAATAACTTGTGCTACATTATAGTGATATAATTGTTCTACTTTAATCTCTTATTTTACCTAAGTTATAAATTAAAATTTCTCAAGGGCTGCATAGGAAGTCTTCAAAACCATGGAAAATATGTATTATGAAAAACTGGATTTTACGCCAAAATAAATTAATCTCTTAATTCTATTTTCCATGGATTTTTATGAAACCCTCTTGTACTTATTGGAGAAAGAAAACATTGTAATTAGAAGGACCCATTAAAAAGGTGAATTTGTCTATATGTGAAGTCTTTCTCGATCAATGTAATTTTTTTTAAAGTTTGGAAGAACATAAATTCAATTTTGTATGTAATAACTTATCTTGTTAATTTGTTAAGCTAAAAGTAAGGATACTAAATTAAATTATGTTGCCAAATGGTTCTATCTTTTGTTTTTAAAGATTATTTGAAAAACATAATATTTGAAAGGTAGCATGACACCTAGAAGGAAAAATGGAGACAAGGAAGGGGCAAAGGGAGAGGGAGAGAGAGGTGGAAAGGGATGTCTCCCATCCTGTTCAGTCCTTAAGCAATGGCAGGGGTTGGGACAGACCAAAGCTGGTGAACTTGATCCAAGGCTTTCAAACACATATGACATATTTTTGTAGATACTGTGTACTTGTAGATGTTTAGACAAGTGTTGTTCTTAATATTTGCAAAACATTTGGAATCAAGATTGGCAAATTCTTCCTATAAAAATCCAGATAGTGCACATTTTCTTGGTGGACTTGTTTGTGGTTTGTCATAACTACTGTTTCTTGCAATTGTAGCAAAAAAGTAGTCATAGAAAATAACTGAACAAAAGATGAGACTGTGCTATAATAAAGCCTTGTTTGCAAAATGAGAATTACTGGCCATTGTTAACCCTTCCTTAGATAATTTCAGATGTATCTAAAGCAAAATATGATGATGCTCAAAAATTTCTCACTGAAATATATCAATTGCTTTGCTAGGAATTAAACATGGGCCAACGATGTTCAGATACAAGAGGAATTGTCTTTGAAGATGTGAGAGTGCCTAAAGAAAACGTCTTAATTGGTGAAGGAGCAGGTTTCAAAATTGCCATGGGAGCTTTTGATAAAACCAGACCTGCAGTAAGTAGTATGAGTTGACAATCTTTACAATACCCTTTATTCTATTCATTATGTCATTAAATAAGTAGCTTATTTTATTATCACATATTTATACATATCTTTATTTTTAAATATTTCTTATTAGGGGCATAGAGGAAATACCATTTTTTTTTTAGATTTCTTCAGTTTACTTTCTGCCTATTACAAAAATTATTATAGCAGGTACAAAATTCTTATAATGCTGCCAGATTTGCAGAGGCAATATCAGTCATTCATTTTAATAGTATACTCATTTTCTGTTTGTTTACTCATTAAGAATATTTCCCCTAGGAAATATTTTGTTATGCAGTTTCTTTTGTTTGCAGAAGAAATTACTTTTCTCAAGGTTACAGCCCTATGATGACAAATGCTGGCTATTCACTGTAGAGAGAAATAATACAAAATTGCGTGTTGCTCTTCCCTCATTTTGATTGTCTTAGCTATAGATCATATTGCTTTTGTATATCCTTCACTTAGAATTTTAGGTAGCTATGTGCCATGTGTTTTCAAAATATCTAACTTTTGCTTTACAAAATGTGAAAATCCTAGGTAGCAGCTGGTGCAGTTGGATTGGCACAGAGAGCTTTGGATGAAGCTACAAAGTATGCCCTGGAAAGGAAAACCTTTGGAAAGCTGCTTGTAGAGGTACTGACAATATTGTGACTATTTCGTTCAAATATAAGGTTTCTTATTAATTTCATCTAAACATGTGTGAATCATTTTTTAAGTTCAAACTGTTTCTACCTTGATAACAAGAGATACCAAATTAATTTTGTTAAAACCATTACACTGTCAGACCCGGTATGGTAGTCTAGTGGCTAAAGTTCTCCTTGCCTGGCATGCGCCAGGATCCTATAAAGGCATTGGTTCGTATCCCAGATATTCCAGTTCCCTTCCAGCTCTGTGTTTGTGGCCTGGGAAAGCACTAGGGAAAAGCCTGGGCAAGTCTTGGGACCTTTGTGGGAGACCCGAAAGAGGCTCCTGGGTCCTGGCTCTGGCTTCATATCAGCTTAGCTGTTACTTGGGGAGTGAGCCAGTGAATGGAAGATCTTTTCTCTCTATCTCTCCTTCACTCTGTAAATAAATACATATTAATTAATTAGCTAATTAATTAACAAGCCATGACACTGCCTCACTGTGGGTATTATGTTTATTATAAAGAAGAAAAAGAACAACTAACATTTACTAAGTACTTGTTATACACCTGACCATATGCTATGGATTTAAATGTGTTTTCTAATTCTCCCAGTAACCCTTTTTAGACAGGTGATGTAATAATCTCTGTTAAAGGCCAGGATATATAAACTCATAGATTTATCCAGCATGACATAATTTATAAATGTATCCATATATAAGAGATTTTTTATGCTCTTAACTTCTGTCTTCTTGAACGTCAAATAATTTTAGAACTAAAGAGTCATTCTTAAACCTTACCTCTTCAAATATTGATTGCTCTCTCCGGTCATTGTACATATTCTCTCCTGTGTAATTCACTATGGTTTGTGCAGTGCACCACCTATTTCTATCCCCATGTGTCAGTGCTTCTCAAACTCTATGGTGAAAGGCTAGTTTGTTTCTAGTTTCTAGTCAGTTGGTGACCATTATTTCTGTAAAGTGTAAGAATGCCTCTCAACCTAAGATGAGTGACAGAGGGATCAACTCGAAACCAGAGTTTATTGGTAGTAGCAAGAGATTGTCATCTGGAGTACAAACCATAGACATCCAAGGGATTGGGGCTTTTAAAGACAAAAGAAATCTACATAAACTATCAACAGAGACCTTCAGTTACAGCAGCTTGTTGTGGGAGCTGGTGCTAGCTCACTGGAGAAGTTAGACAAGTGCAGTTATGCAAGTGGCCTATCTGGAATACCGCAGTTCTAGGAATTCACAGAGTAGTTCCCGTCCTTATGTGACGGGGCTCTCCTTCATGCCTCCCGGCTTCCTTTTGGTAGTACATGACAGAGGGCTGCATTTTGGTACTGACAACTTTCACAAATGTCACAGTAATGTTAGTTACTCTAAAAGTTTCTAAATGCTTAGTCACCTTCTGTCCCATGAACTGCTTTATACATTGGCATTATTGGACAGATCAAACTCAACACTAGTACTGCTCTATGTCCTTAAACTTCCATTTCATAATTTATCCCTGCGCTAAATTTCAACAGTTTTCTCAGATCTACTTTCCAACTTTTTGATCTTGTGCTTAATCCTGTTGACAATTTTTAATGACTACTTTTCATTTCCCGAAGTTATTTTTGGTTCTTTCCATTTCATCCCTTCTTCTTTGATGTCTTTCTTTTTCAACATAGCATCTCTTTCCTTTTATCTCCTTAGTCATATAAAACATTAGTTTATAGTCAGTTTCAGATTTTTTTGGTTATGTCAAGTTCTTAGGGTATTAATCTTTTCATCTGCTACATCTGCTAACTCTGCCACAGCCAGATAAAAGATAAAAGGTTTCAATTTCCTTAATTCATTGTGGAACATCCTGGACAGTGGCTTTTGTACATTTTGTGTGTGTGTGCTTCTGTCAGATAACCCCAAGATTTTGCCTTTGTAAGAGTTGATATTTTACATTTCATTCTCCACGTAAGGAATCTTGTACCACATATTAAACAGGTGTTTGCCTCTCTTTTCTTTTTACATCGTGGGCAATAGATGAGCTTCATAGTGGCTTTCCTGATGAGCAAAGACTTTTCATTCCCTTTTGGAAAGAGAGGATTCTTTGTGAAGGGAGTCTCGGTTTAAGGTTTTTATCCTGTTCATTCTCACGTTGTATGCCGGAGTCCAGCTCCAGATGAGTTCAGAGCTTGAGAAGGGTGCGTGAAATAGGCATAGAAAGAAGAGACACTGACCACTGCAATTCCAAGATCATTGTGGACAATGCAAGAAAGCTGTCCACTTTATTTATACAGAAGCAGTACATGGTTTTCTTTTAGGGGCAATTTGACATAGGTTCAAGGGGGGCACAATTTACAACAGCTTGAGAGGTGAGTGAGGAAGGATTTCACGTTCCTTGCTTAGCTCGGCTTGCTAGCCCCCGCCTGCTATCCTCAAGTCTGGGTTCTATCCTTGGCACACCTGTGACAACCAGACCCCTACCTTGAATTATGTATGGGTTAGTAAGTCTGGGGTCTTGGTTTATGGGGATTAGGGACCATTGGTACTAAAGGTCATTAGGCCTTCAAGTTCACACAGTTTGTTAACACTAAACAAGTAAAGCAAGAATTATAACGGCGGAAACAATTGCAATTAGCAATGAGCCATGTTTACTCCATTTAAATTTCAACCCTGCAATGGGCAAGTGAATGTTTCCAAAGATAATTCTACAAATTGTTTCACCTTAAGACAGGGCATTATCCATTCTGATGTTGCAGCCAAGAATTTCTCAGTAGACAACACATCTTATTCAGTAATATACTCCTACTACAATTCTTATTCTACAACTTATCCATCACTTAACAGGAGAAATACATCAAAAGAGAAAAAACATAAAGATCTAAGACAAAAAGTTTCAAACATTAAATCCCTTTACAACTGCAGGCTCTACAACATCATAAATGATCAAACAATAATCAAAAGTATATCTTTATGATGTTAATAAAATCACCCTATATTTCCTCGAGTTAAAAAAAAGATTATAAAAGAAGCTAAAGCAACTACATTGTCTATGTTCTAAAGAGTTGCAAGGACAGGCTAACCTCTAAGGTCACAGTAACTATATTTTTTGCCATAGCAGGTTAGCCGTTAGGGTCACAGTAGCTATGTTCTTTGCCATAGCAGGATGGCCTTTAGGGTCACAGCTGTTATAACAGGATAGCTTTTAGGGTCCCAGTAGCTATATGTTTTGTCGTAGCAGTTTCAGCCCGTACTCTCATCACTTCCATTAGTTTGTAAAATTCTTATCAAGCAGTTTTCCCAGAAAGCATGCTAAATGCCTGAGCCAGATTTTATGGCAATGGGTAGGCACACAATAAGGTGTCTGGAAACAGCATGGGCTTAATTGTACTCCTGTGCGCAGTTAAAGGCCCACTCACCAAGACATTATCACTAACATTAACTCTTAAGCTCATGTTGCTTGTAAAAGCCATCTCACAGGGGCAAACAATGCCTCAATAGATAACAAAATTCTTAGTGGTGTGGTTCAGTGTCCATGCGAGAGGGGGTGAAACTGGGTCAAGGTGGGCAGAGAGAAATCCACCGGGCCCTGCCAAACAGCTGGAAGCTCCCTGGGCCCTGCCAAGCAGGGGAGCTGTTCTCTTCACACCAATAGGTGTTATTCACACCTGCTGCACAGACCCCAGCAATTGTGTATCTCCTGATCCTTGTGACTGTTAAAACTTCAGCTGCTCTCCCAAATTCACCACAGACTGTTTTTTCCCTTCCCTATGTCATCACTTCTCATCAGGCTTTAATTTAGAGGAGGAACTTGGAGATTTCCATTTTTTTTAAGGTTTAATTTATTTTTGTTGGCAAGTTAGATATACAGAGAGGAGGAGAGACAGAGAGGAAGATCTGTCCATTGATTCACTCCCCAAGTGGCTTCAAAGCTAGAGCTGCACAAATCCAAAGCCAGGAGACTGGAGCCTCTTCCAGCTCTCCACATGGGAGCAGGGTTCCAAGGCGTTGGGCCATCCTGGACTGCTTTCGTAGGCCACAAGCAGGGAGACAGATGGGAAGTGGGGCTGCTGGGATTAGAACCAGCGTCCATATGGGATCCTGGTGCAGCAAAGCTAGTACTTTAGCCACTACGTTACCGCGCTAGGAACCCCAGTTGTTTTTTAATCAAATATTTCTTAGTTAGTTCAATCATGTTGCCAGAGCTACATATATAAGTTTTACTAAATCTTATTGTAGCTTACTTATAAACAGTTAGCAGTTATAAGTGCTATTTGTGTAATGTGATATCCTCATCCAGATCTTTCTTATCAGATACTTATCTATTAATAATTCTTGGTTATTTTAACTGTTGTCTTACCTCATTGTGGAATCTCCTCCCATCATCTTCTCTTTTCCTTAATAAGGAAAATAGAAAATAGAAAAGTTCAAAATAGAAAAATCTTGGTCTTTGCTTACTACATACCTCAAAATAGTCTGGTAATTAGCTTCCCTTTTCAGCACTATGAACAATCTTGAGTTGCTTGCATTTTCAACTAATAGACACATGTAAAGTCTTCATGTGTTCATGCAAAATGCAAATAAGTGAAAAACTATCCACACATTTTGAGTTGTTTTGCCCCAAAATAAACTTTTGAAAAATGCGTATTTATTTATTTAATTTGAAAGTCAGAGTTGCAGAGGAAGAGGGAGAGATACAGAGAATCTTCCACTCTCTAGTTCACTACCCAGATGACCAGAAAAGTCAAAACTGGACCAGGCTGACATCTGGAATGAGGAGCTTCTTTTGGGTCTCTCATGTGAGGGACCTGCTACTGCTGCTTTGCCCAGGCCATTTTCAGAAAGCTGAATTGGAAATGGAGCAGCTAGGACTTGAACCAACATCCATATGGCATACTGGCATAACAGTTTGTGGTTTTACCTGTTTTAACACAGTGTTGGCTACAAACTTATCATTCAATTCCATTTTCTATTAATTTTTTTTAAAGTACTCTTAATTCTGTCACCCCATTTCCAAGTGCCCTTCCATCTGTGTGCCTTGCTCTGTGCAGCTCCATTCTTCTGGAGTTCTGTGTAGGCAGAACTGTGTATATCATCTTTGTTAAGTATTGAAGCTGTACTTAAATAATTGTTTAGCTATTTCATGTCTAATATTAGGAAATATATAAGTATGTATCAACATATACTCATCTGTTTTCATATAGATATTTGGAACTAATGCTTTTGGGTTTGACGACTGGAAGAAATCATCGCAGTTAGCATTTTGTTCTGTGTCTTCTTTTTGATGTGTGTATTATCCAAATCAAAGAGCACTTAACATTGTTTCTCCAAAGTCTTTGTGTTACTTTGCCTGCTTGATTATGAATCTCTAAGGATAAGAAGCATCATTCATTTTTCCTTTTCCTTAGCATTATCTGCTACAATGGCACATTGTTTTCCTCCATTTGTGATTATTTTCTTTAACAAATCTGAGAACATACAGTTTTTGTGGTATCTCTTCCCCCAGTACATAATGTCATTCCAGCCATGAAAAAACACTAGCGCACATGAAGGATGTTCTAGAAAAAATAATTATGGTTCTTCACATGTGCAAAGGTCATGGAAGATAAGGTAAAACAGGAATGGCAAACAGTCTGGGAAACACCAAGGAGAAATAGTTAAATTCAGTATGTAATCCAAGATGTTAGTTGGAAACCTGACCAAATTTGAGTAAAGAGTCTTGCACTGTGTCACAGAGCAGTAAGCTACCACGTATGATGCTACTAGTGTCCCATTATCATTGGACCAGTTTGAATCCTGGCTCTTGCGCTTCCAGTCTTGCTTCTAGCTAATGCTTCTGGGAGGGTAGCCAAGGATGACCAAAGTGTTTGGGCCCCTTCCACGTTGGGGAGAGACTAGGATAAAGTTCCTGCTTGTTGGATTGAGCCTGGCCCAGCCCTAGTTTTTGTGGTCATTTTGTAAATGTGTCAGTATTTGGAAGCTAAATCTTCTCACAATTTGAACAAGGGTCTGTAGTTTAATTGATAATGTCCTGTCATTGATCCTTGCACTATGACTTTGTAGTATGTTAGACAAAGATGGAAAGAACTCTGTGGAAAATCTAAAATTAAATCAAATTTATAAGCTTGTACAAAATGTCATAGGAAAAAAACTTTCAAATGTTGCCAATAGATATTCTTAAACTTTTTTTCCTCTTTAATTTTAGCACCAAGCGGTATCATTTTTGCTGGCTGAGATGGCAATGAAAGTGGAACTAGCAAGAATGAGTTACCAGAGAGCAGCTTGGGAGATAGACAATGGTCGACGAAACACCTACTATGCCTCCATTTCCAAGGCGTTTGCTGGAGATATTGCCAATCAGGTTGCTACTGATGCTGTGCAGATATTTGGAGGGAATGGATTCAATACTGAATATCCTGTAGAAAAACTAATGAGGGATGCCAAGATCTATCAGGTAAGGTTACAAATAAAAATGGTCTGTTGTTTGTTAAAGAATGAAATGTCCAGAATATTTTAATATTTAGTAATTTTATGCCATAAGTGATAATGTCATAGATGGCTGTGAGAAGAGTTTTAGGAATATTAGCACAAAGAAAAATGATTTTTTTTATTAGAGATAGGCTTTAAAAGAATGCAGGGGCCAGGCTTAATGACTATATCCTCCTCTTGGAAGTGCTGAGATCCCTTGTGGGTGCTAGTCCATGTCCTGGCTACTCAACTTCCCATCTAGCTGCCAGCTTGTGTCCTAAGAAAGCAATGGAGGCTGGCCCAACGCCCAGGGAGACCCAGACCATGGGAGACTCCCACGTGGGAGACCCAGAAGAAGCTCTTGGCTCCTAGCTTCAGATCAGCTCAGCCCCAGCTGCTACAGCTATTTTCAAAGAAAACCAATAGATGGAGGATCTTTCTCTCTGTTTCTCCTTCTCTCTGTAGATCTGATCGGCCTTTCAATAAAAGTAAATAAATCTTAAAAAAAGAAAGGGGGGGAATCAAGGACACATTTGGACATAGGGAGAATCAAAAGCTAAGGTGAAAAAGAGAGGGCACATTCCAGGAAATAGGAGAGGACAGGACGATGGCAGAGAGGTACCTGGAGACCGATGGGCATGAGAAAGCAGCGGAGACAACGGTGTGGTGTTGCAGTGACCAGGTACTCTCCTGTGGCAATCAGCGAGTGGTGGTCTGAGCTTCATCAGTGGCCAAGCTCCTCCAGCAGCAAAGTGGGAAGGGGAGCTCACCAGGAACTCAGGAGGTGAACCCAGGCAAAGAACTGCCCATGCTACAGGCTTTTTTTTTTTAATTTGACAAGGAGCAGTGAGAAAACAGCAGATTCCCAAAAGGCAGTGCACAAACACGGTGGATTTCACAGCTGAGACCCCCAGTGGTTCCGAATGGGCAGCCATTTTTTGTAGGGAGGCAAATGCAAAGTGAGACAAGACTATGTATGCACCAAGTTTGGAGCAAACACATTTCTGGCTCATCGCATTGTTTTGCTTTGTTTTTTTATTGTTCTTTTTGTTGTTATTATTATCAATATTATCATTTTATAACACAGTTCCGTAGGCTCTTGGATTTCCCTGTTCCCCTCCCCTAACTACTCCCCCCTCACTGAGTTCCCCTACATTATTGCTATAGTACAGTTCTTCATAAACAGTCATATGCCCATCATTGTGGGCATCGACAATGGCAGAGTCCAGCATCCTATTGTCAAGATATAGTCAACAGTATCATTGGGAGTTCATCTTTGGTCTGGTAGTAGAGATGCAAACTGCATTGTATCTTCACATCTGGAAATGATAGTCTCCATTACACAGTTACTATACATCCCCTTGAATTATACAGTAGCATCATTTTCTTCAAGAAGGTTCTTGATTTTCTTTTCCATTTCTTCAGCGACATATTAGTCATTCAGTAGCATGTTATTTAACATCATACTGTTTTTAATTTCTTTTTTCTTCCAGTTGTTGATCTTGTTTTGTGGCTTTTCATATAAGGAGATGTATAGTAGCTGTGTAATGGAGACTATCATTTCTAGTAACATGTTATTTAACTTCATGGCATTGTGAATTCCTATTTTTCTTCCTATTGTTGATTTTGTATTGTGGCTTTTCATTTAAGGGGATGTATAGTAACTGTGAAATGGAGACTATTATATCCAGATGTGAGGATACAATGCAATGTGCATTTCTACTTCCAGACTAAAATGGACTCCCAATGAAACTGTTTACTATATGAAAATAAGATGATGGACTCTCTGCCATTGTCCATGTCCACAATAATTGACATATGACTGTATGTGAAGAACTATACTTTCCCCTATAATGATATAAGAGAACTTGGTGGGGGGGTAAGGGAAATCGCAGGAGCCTGTGGAACTGTATAATAAAATAATATTAATAATAATAATAAATGAAAGATTTTTTTAAAAAATCAAATAAAAAAGATGTTCTCTTGACAGAGAAAAGGAATAACATACACCAAAAACCAAAGGCAAATGTGAAGAACATCCCAATAAAATAACATCAGAAGACTAAATCAAACAATGAGCAACCCATTGCTAAAATGACAGGACCATGTTACCACCTATGGCTTCAACTCATGAATCAAATGTCATAGATAAATCAACTGGAAAAAAGGGGGCCCAATGCGGTAGCCTAGCAGTTACAGTCATCACCTAGCATGGACCAGGATCCCATATTGGTTCTGGTTCATGTCTTGGCAGCCCCGCTTCCCAACCGACTCCCTGTTTGTAGCCTGGCAAAACAGTCTAGGACAGCCCAAACCTTGGGACCCTGTACTCATGTGGGAGAACCAGAAGAGGCTCATGGCTCTGGATTGGTGCAGCTGTTTTGTCCACTTGGGCAGTAAATCATTGGACAGATCTTCTCTATCTCTCTTCCTCTTTATATACCTGACTTTCCAATAAAAATAAATCTTAAAAAAAAAATATATATATATATATCTGTTGCCTATAGGAAACACTTCTTACCAACCAAGATTAGCAGAAACTATATCTCATGTATTTTGATGTTTTTGTTTTAGTTTCATTTTTTCGAAACACTTTTTTCTGATTAAATTCTTTACTGACTCATAGGTTATACAGTAGCATCATTTTTTTCATGAAGGTTCTTGATTTTGTTTTTCATTTCTTCAGCAATTAATTAGTCATGCTATTTAATTTCTTTTTTTCTTCCTGTTCTTGATTTTGTTTTGGGGATTTTCATTTATAGGGATGTATAGTAACTGTGTAATGGAGACTGTCATATCCAGATGTGAGGATACAGTGCAGCATGCATCTCTACTTTCAGATCAAAGATAGACTTCCAATGAAACTGTTAAATATATCTTTTTTTAATTATTATTTCATTTTGTGACACAGTCTCATAGGTTTTGCGATTCCCCCAACCCCTCCACATGTCTTCTACCCATGTTAATCCAAAGTCAGATATACAGAGAGCAGGAGAGACAGACCGAAAGATATTTCGTCTGATAATTCACTCCCCAAGTGACTGCAACAGCCAGTGCTGTGCCAATCCGAAGTCAGAAACCAGGCACTTCCTCTAGGTCTCCCACGCAGATACAGGGTCCCAAGGCATTGGGCCATCCTTGACTACTTTCCCAGGCCACAAGCAGGGACCTGGATGGGAAGTTGAGCTGCCAGGATTAGAACCAGCGCCCATATGGGATCCCGGCACATTCAAGGCAAGGACTTTAGCCGCTAGGCCACCGTGCAGTGCCCAAAACTGTTCATTATATCTTGACAATAGGATGCTGGTTCTGCCATTCCATGCCCACAATTACGGACTTATTTATGTAGAATTATACTATAGTAATAATATAGGGGAAATCAGTGTCTGAAGAGAAGTGTTTGGGGTGGAAGTAAGGGAAATCCCAGAGCCTATTGGAACTGTATTGTAAAATAATAATAATGATAAAAAGTGGAGGAGGGCCCGGCGCGGTGGCTCAGTGGTTAAGGTCCTCGCCTTGCACTCCCGGGATCCCATATGGGTGCCAGTTCTATCCCGGCAGCCCCGCTTCCCCTCCAGCTCCCTGCCTGTGGCCTGGGAAAGTAGTCGAGGACGGCCCAAAGCTTTGGGACCCTGCACCCACGTGGGAGACCCAGAAGAGGCTCCTGGCTTCGGATCGGCATAGTATTGGCCATTGCGCTCACTTGGGGAGTGAATCATCAGACGGAAGATCTTCCTCTCTGTCTCTCCTCTCTGTATATCTGCCTTTCCAATAAAAAAATAATAAAAATAAATCTTTAAAAAAAAAAAGTGGAGGAAAAAGGACAGCGAGAACAGGCTAGCAAAGTAAATAGCATAGGAACTGGCTTTGTGGTGCAGTGCATTAAGCTACTGCCTGCAATGCAGCATCCCCCTGAATACTTGTTCAAGCCCTAGGTGCGGGACTGAGTAAATAGGCCCCTATTCCTGACTCCTGGCTCTGGCCTGGCTCCAGCCCCAGCCATTACAACCATTTGGAGAGTGAACCAGCAGATGGAAAATATCTGTGTTGTGTATATGTGTGGGGCTGGCCAAGGCAGGGAGGTCTGCTGTTCAAATAAATAAGCAAGTAAATACATCTTTAATTTTTAAAAAACAAAGTAAATGAAATAGAAATGTATTTAATATCTGGATCAACCTTATTTTTAAATTTTAGCATCCTACCTAATTTTATCAACATTTTGCTCTCCAAATAATATCCATATCATTTCAAATTCTTTTTCTTTGAATCTTGCATGACAATTGCTGGTGTAATTAAAGCTATTCCCCAAGTGAAAAATTAATAGAGAGAAGACATATAGATGATTTCTAAATTGGTCATTAGAAAAACTTAGAAGTAATTTAGTAGATAAGACATAACTACATATTCTACACATGTGGCATAAAAATTATACCATGCTCCTAATGTCTCTTTCCAACTCCCCTATTCTAAGTAAACCCTTTTGCATATCCAGTCATTTAAAATCCTGATATGGGATTAGAAAGAATGTTGGATACACTGTGGTCCCCCCATTTCAACAATGGAGGGCCGGGACTTGTGCCTTATCTACAATCACAGTTTTATCTGATGACGCCCTCTTCTGAAGCTTGTAAACACATATATTCAACTGTTCTCCACCATCTGAGAGGATGAATAGTAGTGGTTAGAATGAAAATGAGGACTAAATCATGTAAAGAGAGTCAAAATTAAAGAAAAAGAAAAAAAAAAAAGAAAAGAAAGAAAATGAGGACTATTAGGAAAACATAACTTACTAAAAAACCAAATCCTTCCAGCATTGTTTCCCTTAGCAATTCTATTCCTTAGAAAACAGGTTGGGGGAAAAAATCAGGTTTAAGAGTAAAAAATAGTGCTCGCTTCGGCAGCACATATACTAAAGTAGTAAAACATAGAAAACTGTTAAAGGTGACTTCTTGTTAAGAAGACTTCAAAAAAGTTGAATAATATGTTGCCAATGTTAAATTAGAATTTTAATTTGAAATATGAATATCCTTTTCTTTGATATGTAGAACACTTCTCCAAATTTTTGGCAAGGGAATTTTTATAATAAACTCACCTTTAGAGAATTATACAAGGGGTGTCAAATGATTTGTGGAAAAATGGAATTAAAATATGGAGAGTTTTTTGGCTCAAAAAATGTATAATCTATCCATAGCTTGTATGTAATAGGCATTCTCTAAATCACCAAATCAGGTTTCAGAATCTAGGGCTACCAGCCCTATAAACTGTCTGAGTTTGGTTTTACACTGGAGATTATACTGCTGTCCAGAATTTTGAGTAAATCAGGGCAATTTTGTACTGAATGTATTTAACCTGCATTGTTGTTTTACTTGCAGATTTATGAAGGCACTGCACAAATCCAGAGGCTGATTATCGCCCGTGAACACATTGGCAAATTCAAAAGTTAGAGATTGCTATGGAAGCATGGTTTATCATTGAGAAATTAGAACACTATTGAAGCTCCAGAAAAGAATTCTTCCAGTGCAAATGAAAATAAATATTCTTATACCAAATCTATTTAACTGATTCTAACAATAGTGTACACTTTTGCTGAAATCTGATTTCTCTTTTTAAAAATAGATTTTATTTCACTAAAATTGTGTGTTCTTAGTATCATGGTGCTTGAATCAAATTACCACAGAATACATGTTTCACTATTTTTGTACTCTTAAAGTAGCAGGAATTCCTTGAAAATTCAGTATTTTTATTCCTAATAGAATAGTAGGCTTTAAAGAATTCACAATGTTCCAAATTTTGCAATAAAAAAAATATATGATTTGGTTAATACTAACCAACTTGCCATTGATTTTGTAAACATAATGATGTTTTTGTATTAGAAGAGTTCATTTTACTACAATTTGGAAAACACTTGATTTTTTTATGACTTTGTTGGTCTTTAGGTGGCCATTAGTCAGTTATGTAATATTTCAAGTCATTTCTGTGCAATTTGAACAGAAACTTAAGATCATCTGTTCAGTGTTTATATCTTTTTGTATTCTTGCCAGGAGGTTTTATTACATTATGCAATAGTATATACATCTTGGAGCTGAAATCGGCAGACAAGTCTTGGCCTGGCCCTTGTGGGACCCTGGAATTCAAAGACCCTTTCCTGTCCCTCTCAGCTCTGCAGAAATGTTCAATAAAATCAACTCTGGAAGATGTACATTCCTTGCTCTGCCCCCCCAAAAGTAGTGTGTGTGTGTGGGGGGGGGTATATATACACATATATAATGTATTGATAATGATAAAAAGGATGCATTTTGATTTTGAATTCTATACACTTAACCTGGCAATGTTTATTACACTACAAGAAACTCCAGAAGATAAGAATATCAAATAATGTGAGAACCAAAGTTTGTAAATTTAATTTTTTTAAATATTTATTTGAAGGGCTAATATATGGTACAGTGGGTCAAATTGCCGCATGCAATATAGGCATCCCATAATAGAGTGCCAGTTTGATTCTCAGCTGCCCTGCTTCCCATCCGGTTCCCTTCTAACTCTGCAACCATGTGGGACACCTGAATGGAGTTTGAGTTCCTGGCTTCAGCTTTGCCCAGCCCCAACCATTGTGTACATTAGGGAATTGAACCTTATTTGAAAGAGTAATTAGAAGAGTGAGAGGCAGAGATCATCTGTCTGCTGACTTTCTACCCAACAGCTGGGAGTGAGCTATAACAAAATTAAGAGGTAGGAACCCTTTTTTTTTTTAATTTGTTTATTTTTACTGCAAAGTCAGATATACAGACAGGAGGAGGAGAGACAGAGAAGAAGATATTCTGTCCGATAATTCATTCCCCAAGTGACCACAACGGCTGGTGCTGCGCCGATCCGACCGGGAGCCAGGAACTTCTTCTCCAGGTCTTCCACTCAGGTACAGGGTCCCAAGGCTTTGGGCCATCCTCCACTGCTTTCCCAGGCCAAAAACAGGGAACTGGATGGGAAGCAGAGCTGCTGGGATTAGAACCGGCGCCCACATGTGATCTCAGCGCGTTCAAGGCAAGGGCTATAGTCTCTAGGCCACCGTGCAGGGCCCAGAGGCAGGAATTCTATCTGGGTCTCCCATGTACATGAGAGGGACTCAAGTACTTCTGCTGCCATTTGCTTCTTTGCAGGGATATTACCATGAAACCAGACCAGAAATGATATAGTTGGGATGTGAGTGTCCCAGGTGGCACCTTAATCTGTAGTACTCTAATTCCTTCTGCTAAGATGCATTACACTAAATGAAGTGTTTCACATCTCTTTTAACTACTCAGTTTTTTGAAGTCAACTGTGCTGCTTTTCAATTCAGTTCTATTCTGACACTCCTCTCAGGGACACAAGACTGTCCTCACCTCAGAGGCAAGTCCTAAGTCCCAGGTTCCCTGGTTACCCATATGTGGCTACAGATGTAGGTATTTCTATGCCCCTAGCCTCAGCATCCACACTTTGCAAGAATGGTTCACAGAACTCGGGAAAACCCTTTATTTCGGTTTACTGTTGGCATAATGCAAAGAATACATACAATTCAAGAAAAGAGTAGCCAGTGGAAGAGATGCATTGATCAAGGCATGGGGGAAGGGAGGAGTGCAGAACCTGTATTCCTCCTCCCTGTATACTACTTTTCCAGCAACTTTATGTGTTCACCAACCTGGAAGCTCCCAAATCCTTTATTTAAGGGCTTTTACAGAGCTAAAGATCTTGTCTTTCTCTCCTCCCCAGAGGTCAGGGTTGAAATTTGAAACTTACCACCTATATTGTCTCCCAAGATTAACATTAGAAAAAAATTACACAAGGGCTGGCATTGCGTTACAAAAGCCTAAGCTTCCTGTGATACCAGCACCCTAAATGGGCAAAGGCTCATGTCCTAATTGCTACATATCACATAGAGCTCCCTGCTAACAGCAGCAGAGCATGGACCAAGTGCTGGGACTCTGCACCCACAGGGGAGACCCAGAAGAAACTCCTGGCTCCTGGGCTTTGGGCCCAGCCCTACTGTGACCATTGTAGTAATCTGAAGAGTGAACCAGGGATGAATAATTTTTTCTCTCAACCCATAATTCTGCCTTTCAAATATAAGGTATTTTATAAAAGAGTAATAATAGGGGCCAGCACAATGGTGTGATAGGCTAATGCTCTGCCTTCAGTGCCAGTATCTCATGTGGCTGCTGGTTCATATCCTGGCTGTTCCACTTGCCGCTCCAACTCACACCTTATGGCCTAGGAAAACGGCAGACAATGGCTCAAGTCCTTGGGCCCTGCACGCATGTGGAGACCCAGGAAAAGTCCTAGCTCCAGGCTTCAGATCAGCTCAGCTCCAGCCACTGCAGCCATTTGGGGAGCAAACCAGAAGATGAAAGGCCTTCCAGTAAATCTACATTTGAATAATAAATAAATAAAACAAGAAAGGAAAAAAAAAAACAGACTGACTGAAACAAAGAACCTATGAATACTTTGAAAATTACATGGAAAATGAAACTTGGTACAAAACATTTGGAAATTCATAGAGTTTTTTTTTTTCACTATGTATTTTCCATGAGTTTTTTAAATATACTCTTTTTATTTTCTTGCAGTTTGGAGGCCAGAAGTAAGGAATAAAGTAGTCAGGGACAATTTCTGATAAGGCCTCTCATAGACTGCCAACTGACAGTGTCCTCACATGTCCTCTCTTATACAAGCATGGCAGGTTGAATACAAGAGAGCTCTGGTGTCTCTTTCTTTTAAAAAGAAACTAGTTCTGTAAGGATTAGGGTCCTTTCTAATACCACCATCACTCCGTTAAGCGTGTGTGTTAAGTACTTTTGCCAAGGGCCATTTGGATATCCATAACATTATTTGCAAGCTATATAAAACAATCCACCTAAAAATTACCGCATTATGGATTTATTCAATTTTGAGTCCAGCCCACATCCAATGATTTTGTGTCTTTTATTCAGCCCATGGGATGCTTGTTCCGTACTCCTGCAAAGGCTCTGTTTCCAAATACTGACACTGTGAATCGGGACTCCAACATAGGTACTGGGGGAGGCTGTACAGTTCAGTGTAAGGACACTCTAGCTACTCATTCTGGTGATGAGCTCCACCTTGAGGCTATTTGGAGACTAAATTCTACAGGCATAGTGGGTAAAGCTGCTGCTTGAAATATCAGCATCCTGTATGATAACCAGTTTAAGTTCAGGCTTCTCCACTTCCAATCCAGCTCTCTGCCAATGAGCCTGGGGAAGCGACAGAGGATGACTCAACACCTTGGTTCCTACACCCACTTGTAAGACTTTGACAAACTCTTGACTTTGGCCTGGTTCAACCCTGGCCATTATGGTCTTTTGGGGAGTGAACCAGTATATGGAAGATCTGACTATCCCTCTCTCTCTCTCTGTAGATTTTTTTTAAAAGTAGATTTGTGAAAAAAGATCTATTTTTATTGGAAAGGCAGATGTCCAGAGAGAAGGAGAGAGAGACAGAAAGATCTTCTATCCTCTGGTTCACTCCCCAAGTGACTACAACGGTCAGAGCTGAGCCTATCTGAAGCCAGGAGCCAGGAACCTCTTTGGGTCTGCCATGCAGGTACAGGGTCCCAAGGCTTTGGACTGTCCTCGACTGCTCTCCTAGGCCATAAGCAGGGATCTGGATGGGAAGCGGGGATCCAGATCCTTCCATTGAGCCACTGCATTATGCCCAACCCTCTCCAACCTAATTGTAATCTGAAGCTCACATAGGCTTGTAACTCCCTCACTTTTGTAATAAATATTATTTTTTAAGATTTATTTCTTTTTATTGCAAAGTCATACATATAGAGAGAGAAGGAGAGGCAGAAAGGAAGATCTTTCCTTCCGTGATTCACTCCCCAAGTGACCTCAACAACCAGAGCTGTGCCAATCTAAAGCCAGAAGCCAGGAGTAACAATTTTAAAAGTGGAATGGGTTAATCTTCCACCTGCAAGTGCTAACTTCACATATGGGTTCCAGTTCATGCCCTGGTTGCTCTAATTCTAACTCAGCTCCCTGATTATGGCCTGGTGTAGGAAGATAACACATTAGGAGAGGAAAATGGGAAATCTCACTCTTGCAAAACCATAAACCATTCCCACAGCCATCATCCTGTGAGAATGCTCTGGAATTCAGGGTAAAGGTCCTGAAGCACTTGATACAGAAATGCGCAGGCCAGGACTCCGTAATCCTCAAGTTCGGATAACAGATCAAAGAGAGGTGCCAGTTAGAAGAACATATTGTTTACCAACAGACCTCCCCTGCCTTTGCTGTTAGCCTGTAAACCACATCCTGTCTCTATCCTCCTTCTTATGCCTAGGTGATCCTGTCTCTGAAAGTCTGATGTTGTTAATAAACTTTAGCTATTGATCATCAGTTATCAGTTAGTAGTCCGTGTGTGTGATTATCAACTCCACCCACCAAATAAATCCCTGGCTGCAGGATAGTGAAGAGCCTGGGAAAGCAGTGGAGGATGGCCAAAGTCCTTTAATCCCTACATCCACATGGGAGGCACAGAAGAAGCTCCTGGCATCCAGCCTTGGACCGGCTCAGCTCTGGCTGTTGTGGCCATTTGGACAGAAAATCAGCAGATGAAAGATCTCTGTAAAAAAAAATAAATCTGTAAATAATAAATCTTTAACAAAAAAGTGGAATAAGAAGCATGTAATGTGCTCCTTTTGTATTTACTGCTTTAAAAATTACTTACTATGTTTCATTATGAAATGCAGATTTTCCATGTTTAATGTCCCAGAAACCTGGATAAGCTTTATATTAACAGACACTGTGAATTTTTTCCACCATTGACAAGGTACCAGAATGTTCAGTGAAAAGTAAGCCATTTTTATTATCCCATCTCTCAGCCATTTCTCTTCCTTGTAGGCAAATGTTTTTAGTAATTCAACATGTATAAAAATACACATATATTTCTCTTTGTTTCTTATGCAAATAGTAGCATGTAATACATTTTGACACTTTGTTGTGTCTGCTTCCACTTAGTCTACACATGGGTCATCCTTCTCTGCTAAGTGTATACTAAGTGGAAACAGACAACAAAGTGTCACAATACATATATGCAAATAGTAGCATACTACACCTTTTTTTATATATGAAGCTTTTTTTTTAAGGAAAGGCATATTTTCAGATAAAGAGAGAGATCTTCTATCTACTATTTTATTCCCTAATTGTCCACAATGGCCAGAGCTAGGCAGGTCTATAGCCAGCAGCACAGAGCTTCTTTCCAAGTGTCCTACATGGGTGCAAAGGTCCCAGGGACTTGGGCCATCCTCTGTTATTTTTCTAGTTCCTTAGCAGGGAGCTGGATTGGAAGTGGAACAGCACTGTCCATATGGGATACTGGTGCCATAGGTGGAGGCCTAAATTGCTATGCCATGGCACTTGCCCCTACAGAGTGTATCTGAAGAATCTCTTAGCAATATATTTAGCGTCTTCATTCATTTTGATGGGTGCACAGTGAATTATCATTGTCTTCTTGTTTTAAAGAAATATTTCCTTAAAAGGCTGAACAGGGTGACAGTGCGGGATGGAAAGATCTTTCATCTGCTATTAACTTCAAATTGCTCCAGCAGCTAGGGTTGGGCCAGCACGAAGCCTGGAGCCATGAACTCACACAGTCTCCCAGGTAAGTGACAGGGACGCAAGTACTCAGTTACATGTTGCTTCCCAGGCACAGCAAGAGGGATCTCTCAGTGGCACTCTGTCACGGGGTGGAAGCATCCAAAATGATGACTTAATCTGATACACACAACACCTATCCTCGCATAATGTGTGTGTGTGTAACTAATTAAAACATGTTTGTTTGTTTGTTTGTTTCCTTTGAGAGACGCTGAGCTTCCATTTACTGGTTCTCTCCTAATACCTCATGGGGATGGGCTGAGGCCAGAACGAGGAGTACAATGCAGTTGTCTCCTGGGGGCTGCAGGAACCCTGTTCCTTGATCATCACCATTGCCTGCCAGGGTCTGCATTCTGAGGAACCAGGAATCAAGGGCCAGAGCTAGGAATTTAACCCCAGCACGCGTATGTAGAATGTGGTCATCTTACCTGCTGTGCTATTAAAGCTTCTGATGAGCAACGGAAATATCTGCAATATTACAGATTGTTGCTATGAATATTCTTACATACAAGTCATTTCACATATAAGGAAATATTAACATTCATTCAAAGTAGACTCATTTAGTAAAATGCTATAGGCATTTACTAACAGCAACATATGTAACTAATGTAAGCATGCAATCTACCTAATCCGAATGGATTACAAAGAATTTCCCAGGTGGGTGCAGGAGCCCAAGCTTTGGCCCGTCCTCCGCGGCTTTCCTAGGCCATAAACAGAGAGCTGGACTGAAGTGGAACGGTCAGGATAGGAACCCATAGGGGATGCCGACACTCGCGGATTAGTTCACAACGCCACCGGGTTGGCTCCAGGAACTAATAATTTTTTAAAAGCAACTCAGATGCTGAGTTTCACACATTGCAGTAAACTCGGAACACGCCAATATACGCTCCGACTTTTTGTCACAGGCGGTGAGGACACCTATGAGCATCCAATGGGGTCCTAGGGCACAGAATTGCGGCGCGTTTCAGGCGAAACTGTAGTCAGCTATGTGGAGGAGCGGAGGGGCCTTAGGCGCGCTTTTGCGCAGGCGCGCGTCTCCTAAGACTTCCCGGGCTCGGGGCTTCCTCTCTCTTTTCGCTCCGAGACATGGTGAGTGTCGGTTGGTGGGAGAGCCGGTTGCTAGCGGGGTCGGGCGGGCAGCGGTGGCATCGGGCCGTGCGGTATGTGGCCGATTACCAAGCGGTGGAGGATGGTTGCAGTAAGACGCGGCCCTTTCCAGGTTGCAGTGTTACTCAGCGTTTCAGCTGACCTCGCGGGCGCAGTCGCTGCTTCTAATTCTGTCCGGACTTCCGCCTGCGGCCTCCGCATTAAGCGACCTGATTTCATAATCCTTAAACAGGGAGCTGCTGGATGGCTTTTTCCCTTACGTGTTTTATATGCCCTTGGTGTATTCATACACATTTCTGATTACTAAAATAACCGTGTTATGCCGCTTGAAGACCTCCATCTTAAAGTGAAGTCAAGGCATTCGCTGCATAATCACTTTTGGGAATCCTCGTGACCAACTTAAAGTGGCCACATTGCAGACGATTGCAAAGCGGTAGTTGAGAAGGGGAAGAAACGGCAGCGCCCTCACTGGGGCACGTGGTGCAATCTTAGTCTGATTGTGGAGGCGCAGAAACGCATTATTTGGTAATTTGTGTAACTTTGGGATGTGAAAGGTGTTGACTGCCTTAATTGTTTTTAAGGAAGAATTTGAAAATTGCCAACCTGGGACGTAGTTTTAAGCGATCTGCTTGGCCTTTTACCAAGTACAAACGTTTAAGTTCCCCCAAATTGTTCATTCTGGTAATCTGTGGTGCTTACATTTTACTTTACCAATGAAAGGAGAGTATCAACAAAGGCAAGTAATTTTTTGGGTCGATGATGAGCTGGCATGTATTCTGAATCTAAAATTGATTATTCCTACTTTAGCTCTAGAATTACTCTGAGACCTGAAAAATACATACTTCACTGAGGATTTTAATGTTTTAAGTTCTTCCTGATCACAGCCTTGTAATTCGATGACTTAAACGTTGGTAACTCTTGTTTTGCAAGGGCACACCTCAGAAGGATGTTATTATCAAGCCAGATGCTCCCAACTCACTGTTCCTGGAGAAGCATGCTGATTATATCGCATCCTATGGCTCAAAGAAAGATGATTATGTATGTATGACCCATTGATGTCGTGCATGAGCAGTAGTGTATTGTTGGTTTGTCCTGGTATGCCCCTGAGTCTGGGTCTGCCAAGGACACCTGGGACATAGGAGATGGGAGATGGTCAGAATGTGTGTACTGGGCGGTCATTGGGGACTTGCCAAGGGAAGAATTTTGAGGCACAGTGTAGGTCTGTTATTGCAGGTGAGGTGATTCTTCAAGGTCAATGATGTGTTGGCATGTATTAACTGAATTCACTGCTGATGTGATAACACTTTAGCTCTAGAATTACGCTGAGACCTTGGAAATACTTCACCTTAACGTTTTGAATGAAAAAAACTTATTCTGGGACAATCTTGAAAGTTTTGCCTGTCGTGCTGAAGTAGCCGGGTTAGCTGATGATGGAGGTTGTCTGGTGTTGAAAATTTTGACTTTACACCTTTGAAGTATGAGTAACGCATTTTAACTGAAAGGAATTTGTTTCTGGAATCTACTTATCAGTGTGCTGCATTTTACATTCTTGAATCAGTGTCATTTACAAATGTCTAATAGTGTTTTGATCACAGTCCCCTTTAAGAGAATGCTTGGTGGCTGTAATATGGAAACGGAAGGGCATTCTCCCTGGATACTACTGAAGAAGTGGTAGATGTGTTTTCTAAAACTGTTTCTGCTGTTAGCCACGTGCTTCTTGGTAATCTCGTGAATCCCAACCAGATAGTGGCTTGCTTAATGACAAAATAGAGATTATGTATCTCCCATCAGTTCAAACTGATAAATTTAGGAAATCTGTTTTAGGAATATTGCATGTCTGAGTACTTGAGGATGAGTGGCATATATTGGGGTCTGACAGTAATGGATCTCATGGGACAACTGAACCGCATGAATAGAGAAGAAATTCTAACATTTATAAAGTCGTGCCAACATGAATGTGGTGGAATAAGTGCAAGTATTGGACATGATCCTCATCTCTTATATACTCTAAGTGCTGTCCAGGTAATTACTTACCAAATTTTGATTTTATGTTCTTGCTTGAAAGCCAGGAATTGAAACTACTATGAAGGTGAAAAATCAGTGCTCTAAGTGAAGTCCTTTACAAGTGTGTCCTTCAAGGTCAATGATGTCATGGCATGTATTAGCTGAATCTCCATTGATGCAAGTTCCAAAATTACACTGAGACCTTGGAGGATAACAATGGTTTTAAATGTAAATATTTGAAAAACTATTGGGTGGAGCTTTTAAAATTTTGAAATGCAAGCAGGGAGTAGCAGAGATAGCTTCCATGCACTGGTGAGTCTTCAGAAGACTAGGCAAGTCCCAAGTGTTTGGGTAATGTTCCCTTGGCCTTTCCAGGTGCCCTGGCTGTGCTCTAAATCCGAACTGGGAATAAGTGGTTCTCAGACCTGGGATGTAGGGTGGGAGCTCACTGCACAACACTGCTGTTTAAAAAGATGATTGGCTTTGGGTTGGTGTCTTAATTTTATTTAATGACTGATAAGATTGTAACAGAACATACTTAAAGATAGGATAATGACATTAGAGCATCCTTACAGGATTACTTAATGTATTTTTCTTGTTGCAGATTCTCACTCTATATGATAGTATTAATGTTATTGACGTAAATAAAGTTGTGGAATATGTCCAGAGTCTACAGAAAGAAGATGGCTCATTTGCTGGAGACATTTGGGGTAATGCCAAAATGAGTTGCTACAACCCAAAATATCAGTGCTAAAATGTCCTGACTTTGCTTAGAACCCGTTGTAGAGTTCCTTAAGCATTTCATCTTTTCAGGTCCCATGAAGCAGCTGGTCTAAGTGGAGTTAATGGTCTGCTGGAAGTTCCAGCATGCACTGTGATAGTTATATCAGCATGCGGGAGCACTGGAGCAGAGGGGGCCAGTCTAAAAGATAAGGTAGGTGACTTTTTTTTCCCCCAGTATTTGGTGCTTTTGTAAAGTTTTTATAAAGAACTTTCTGGAAAGGGAGAAGCAATTTTAAAAACTTTACAAGCTTACTGAATATTTGTGTGGAGGGAGGGAAAAGCATTTTATCTGAAACCTAGAATAACGTCTGCTTTAGGACTGAACACAGTGCAGGCCAGAGAGACCAGCTGCTTCATGGGATGTGAAAATCTTTTAAGTAGGGTAAGTTTTGCATTATTTGAAACCAGCTAGTTCTTTAATAAATTGTTAGCCTTCCTTCCCTGTCTGTACCCCCACAGAAATTTTTTAGATAATTTGTGATTTTGACAAAGTTCAAGTTAGACAATTTCAGATCTGATGACACATGTCCATTTTATTTTAGGAGAAATTGATACAAGATTCTCTTTCTGTGCGGTGGCAACATTAGCTCTGTTGGTAAGCTTTTGATATATTAACGATTTGTTTTCTTTGGAAGGCAGAGTGGCAGATCTTTACACCTGCTAGTTGACTCCCAAAATGCAAGAACCTGGGACAGGGCAAGGGCAGAGCCAGGAGCTCCTATGTCGGTCTGATGCAGGGGTGGGGATGATCAGGTCCATGTAGCAGGGCTCTGGATTGGAAGTGTAACTTGAGACTGTCCCAGCATTTTATAGGGCAGGTGGGTGGGTATCCCCGGTAGTGATCTAACCTGTGTGCCAGCCTGTCCCGTGCTTTGAATAATAAACCATCTGAGTATTCTGAAATTTATTTGCTGTGTTTGTTTTACAGGGGAAGCTTGATGCAATCGATGTAGAAAAAGCAATTGAATTTGTTTTATCTTGTATGAACTTTGATGGTGGATTTGGTTGCAGACCGGGTTCTGAATCCCATGCTGGGCAGGTAATTCAAGGTTAAAGTTGGCAGATGTTGAAGGGTTTTTCATTTGAACACACTAGAAACTGGTGTGTGGTAACTTTCACAATGCTTTGCATTATGATAATCTGTTGGATCCCAGTGTAGTCCATGTACTACACAGTGTTCTTAAATTATTATGCAGATAGAAATGCACTGTTAACTTTAATTACCCATGATCAACTTGAGATTTATTTTATATTGAATCCCACTCTTGGTGTAAAATCTCATCCCGTTAGTATGTCAGTATGGAATTGGCTCTTGTTAAAAGTAGGCTTGATTTTTTTTTTTGGAAAGGGCATATTTAAAGTTAAGTATTTAAAAGTTGAATTGTCAGTAAAACTGACAATTAGTAATTGAAGGTGTCAATCATTTATCAAGTTATATACATGTACTTTATGTCTGTAATTTTAGATCTATTGTTGCACAGGATTCCTGGCTATTACTAATCAGCTTCATCAAGTAAATTCTGATTTACTTGGTTGGTGGCTTTGTGAAAGACAGTTACCTTCAGGAGGACTTAATGGAAGACCCGAGAAGGTATTTGATGAGCTGCATTTTTGCTAACCTCAAACTTGAATGAATGCTTCTTCCATGTATTTCAAATTCATGACATGCTTTTGGCCTTCCTATGTGACTTTTGACATTTCTCTTCTAATATCTCCCCCCAAAAAAGGCGCCAGTGGCAAAGGTAGTACCCAAGGGACTGAAAAGTTCTTGTGTGCACCTTAGAGCCTTTTTATTGGAAAGTCAGATTTACAAAGAGGAGAGAGAAAATCCATCCATTGGTTCACTCTGCAAGTGGCTGCAGTGGCTGGAGCTGAGCTTGCTAGGAGCGAGGAACCTCCTCCAAGTTTCCCACAGGGGTGCAGAGTCCCAAGGCTTTCCCAGGCCACAAGCAGGGAGCTGGAAGGGAAGTTGAGGAGCCAGGACATGATTTGGCCCCCATGTGGGATCCTGGTGCATGCAAGGCGAGGACTTTGGCATTAGGCCACTGCACCAGGCAGCTGTAGAGCCTTTTTTTTCCCACGTTGCAGACGAAAAAGGTTATTTTGCAAAGGGACCAAGTGAGCAGGGGAGGGAGAAGGAAGGGGAAAGTACCTCCCAAGAGAAAGCCAGGAGGTGGGGTTCCTCTTGAGAGAGGGAGAGACACCTGTAGAGCCATTCTTAATGAGCTTAATCATTAGTAAGAGATTGGAAGCCACACTACATAATCTTCATACCTAGAATGCATATGAAAATGCTTACATTGAGCCTCTACACCAGCTTCCTCGTTATTTAGAGAAGTTACAAATAAAATAGTTGCATAGTTTGGTTTTGTCTTTCACATTGTCTTTAGTTCTATGCAGACATTTCAGATTTTAATGTTCTTTGTCATTCTTGTGAATATAAAGTTGCTTAGGTGAGACTTCATTTATGAATCTTAATTATAGAGAACAACAGTAATTAACTGGCCTCTCCTTTCAGTTACCAGATGTGTGCTATTCATGGTGGGTGCTGGCGTCTCTAAAGATTATTGGAAGGCTTCATTGGATCGATAGGGAAAAATTGAGGAATTTCATTTTGGCATGTCAAGATGAAGAAACGGGGGGATTTGCCGACAGACCAGGAGATATGGCAAGTACTTCCGCATTAACGGGAAAACAGAGGCAAACATCTTACATTCACTAGTTTACTCATCACATGGCTATAACTTACTTGTGGGTGGGTGACAGGAGTCCATAAAGTGGTTCAGCCAGCTCTTGAACCACTGCCGATATAGGATGTCAGCGCTAGTCCCTGCAGGGCACTTCTAATGTGTTGTACACAGTATGTCCATGACCATGACTTCCAGGCATGGAGGTTAATACTCCAAAGGATTCTTGGTGCTTTTTTAGCCAACCAAGTACTAAATATGTGATAAAGGTCATACAATTGGAAACAATTTAAAGCTTATTTTTGAAAATATTGAAGCACTCAGAAAAATTGGGGTGGACTGCTATATAAAATTTGGAAGGAATGTTGGAGGGGGTATTTGATTTGGTAATCTGTAACTTTTTTAATGCAGGTGGATCCTTTTCATACATTATTTGGAATAGCTGGATTGTCTCTTCTGGGAGAAGAACAGATAAAACCTGTTAATCCAGTCTTTTGCATGCCTGAAGAAGTGCTTCGGAGGGTGAATGTTCAACCTGAACTAGTAACCTAGACTCGCCCATGCAAAAAGTTACTTAGTGTAGTTGCCATTTCAACATTAACTGTTTATATGTTGTACATTGTGTTAAATTAATTTCAATAAATTATAATTATACATACTGTAAAGTAATGTCCTGGTGTTACGCTCCACTTTAGATTTACTTGTATAATCTTAAAATTTGCACTTGTATCCATGTCAGTGAATTTGCTTCATCTGTATTTGTTGTATAATTACAGTTGCTGTAATACTGTTTGCAAGTTTTAGAATGACAGACCCATATATGTAAGAATTACACGGAGCTGTGGATGTTGACACTATTCCACTTCTAATCCGGTCTCTTGCTAGTATGCAGCTTAAGAGACTGGAGGCCATGGTTTGGTTTCCTGCCACCCAAGTGAACAATGATGATTGAAGTGTCTGGCATCTGTATCTGGACTGATCCAGTGCTGGACTGCTGTAAGCATTTGGAGGTTAAGCCAGCAACAGAAATGTTACGAGGTGTTACTCTTCCAAATAAAAACAGCTGTTTAAAAAAAGGTGGCAAAGATTCGTGATTACTCAATTTACTGTTCAAATTGGGTTGTGGTTTGGGATACGTGTTACCTGCTGGTTTTTGGAAATGAGCTGGTCGTTGACATACTCTTTTTTTTCATAATGTATTTTTTTAAATTGCATTTAGTTTTATAACAACGTTTCATAGGCTCTGATGTTCCCTCTTGCCCTTCCCCCATGGTGGATTGCTCCACCTTATTGCAGTATTACAGATTAAATCTAGTCTTCTTTCAATGCAAGCATGTGCCTTTCATAGAGTCCAGTATCTTGTTGCCCAGCTGAATTCAACAGTTTCCTGAGGAGACCAACTCTGGTCTGGAGACATAGCTGGCAGATTATTGTTCCGACCAACATTATGGGGTTAATTAACAATGTAGTAATACATTTCACTGGTCCCCTTGTACAAATTGACAGCATTTCAATTTAAGGCGAGCATGTGGTATCTGACCTTTTGGGATTGACTCATTTCTCTTAGCATGGTGGTTTCCAGTTGGGCCCTTTTGGCCACAAAGAACTGCATTGGGTTTTTTTAATAGCCGAGTAGTATTCCATGGAGTAAATGAACCATAGCTTTCTTATCCAGTCTTCTGTTGATGGGCATTTTGGTTGCTTCCAAGTTTTTTGCAATTATTGATTGTGCTACGAACATGGGGGTGCGTGTAGGTTTCTTGTGTAGCAGGTGTTTTGGATATATTCCTAGGAGAGCTATTGCTGGATTATTTGGTGTGCAGATTTACAGTTGTTTGAGTGTTCTCCAAACTGATTTCCATAGAGGCAGCATCAACCTGCAGCCCCACCAGCAAAGGAGAAGGGTTTCTTTCCCCCACAACCTCGCCAGCAAGTGTTGCTGGCGGTTTTTTGTATATGAGCCATTCTTACTGGTGTTAGGTGATACCGTATTGATGTCTTAATTTGGATTTACCTTATTGTTAGGGAACTTGAGCATTTTTTCACATGTTTGCCATTTGAGTTTGTTTTCCCATGCCCATTTTTTGAGTGGTTTGTTTTGGTTTCTCTGGAGATCTTTGTATATTCTGGAGATTAGCCCCCTATCACCTCTGTAGTGTGCAAAGATCTCCCATTCTGTGGGTTTTTTTTGTTTGTTTGTTTTGCTTTGTTGATAGTTTCCCTTGCTGTGCAGAACGTTGACATATTCTAAAAGTCAGGTATGTTATGAACATGTTACTGAGTGCAGTTTATAGGGCTGCAGTCATGACCCAACTGTATCTGGTGCTATCTGTATAACAGAATTCCAATCTTTAGATTGCCATAATTCCCAAAGGTCATTGTTACAAAGCCATTATAGCATTTCCCATTTCGATATATGCTTTGAACTGGAATTGTACCACTAGAATGTGGGGTTAGGATGATTGAACTTTGGGTTTATAGAAAAGTGATTTGTGGCTGTAACTTCCACAGTGATAGCATTATGGTTAAGGTCCTTGCCTTGAATATGCTGGGATTCCATATGGGTGCTGGTTCTAGTCCTGGCAGCCTTATCCAGCTCCCTGCTTGTGGCCCAGGAAAGCAGCCAAGGACAGCCCAAATCCTTGGGAACTTGCACCCATGTGGTAGACCTAGAGGAAGTTCCTGGCTCCTGACATCAGATGGCGCAGCACCAGCTGCTGCAGCCACTTGGGACGTGAATCATCGAATGGAAGATTTTCCTCCGTCTCTCCTCTCTGTACATCTGCCTTTCCAATAAAATAAAAATATTTTAAAAAAAATCTTAAGTGCTCAACAGCCAGTTTAAAGTGGGTTTTCAGATATAAGTCTTTAGTTTTCAGTTGGGACCTACAGCGTTGATCCGAAGCCAGGAGCCAGGAACTTCGGATCGAGCAGGGTCCCAAGGCCGTCCTCCACTGCTTTCCTAGTCCACAAGCAGGGAGCTGGATGGGAAGCGAGCTCGCCAGGATTAGAATCGTAGCCCATATGGGATCCTGGCCTGTTGAAGGGGAGGACCCAAGCCGCTAGGGTCTAGGTGTTGGAGGGCCTTAACGAGTTCCTTTTAGCCTGGTTCCTACAAGTTGAGATTCCCGCGGGAGGTGACAGGCTTGGGAACCGTTAAGTATCAGTTGGGAGTTGAGGATCGCCAAGCCGCTGAGAGCTTTGTGCGCCTGCGCAGTGCGGCCTAGTGACTCCAGCCCATGGTGGCGCGCACCTTCTGCGCTCCGACCTGTGAGGCCGTTGGCCCAGGAGCCCCAGCTTCAATTGTTTAGGGGAGAAGTTTGGGAGGATGCTGAGGCGTGAGATCTTTTCAACTTCGCCTTCTGCCCCTGCTGCCTCTTTGTCGACGGGAGAGGCAGGCTCACGGGGTCTCCGCCACAGCTCCGGACCCCCGGACACTCCTCGGAGTCGTCCTTCGAGCCAGGCCTTCCTGGTGTCCACCCCATTTGGCACCTCTGGAGCCGCAGGCGACAGAAGCAGCAGCAGCACCCTTCGCCCTCCCAGCACCAGGGCAGCTCCAGGCAAGGAGTGTCGGGTGGGAGTGCGCCGAGAGCCCGATGTCGGGTGCGGGAGCCGTGGGTGGCGGTTACCTCAGCGCCCTTGGCGCCGCTGGCGGCGGTTACCTCAGCCGTCACCTCAGACGCAGCCCGGCTTGGCGGGCTGGCGAGAACTGGGCGGGTGGGAACGCGGTAGGTCCCAGTGAGTAAAAGACGTTTAAGAATGGTTTTACGATTGTGATAGTGGATGACTTAGATCTGAGGAAGACATATATGTAATGCATTTGGGCTATAGATTTCAAAGGTACCAATACATTTGTGATGAAGAGGGAGAATAACGAAGAAGATAGTTTAAAAATAGAGGTCAAGGAAGTTTAAAAATAGAGGTTAAGGAAGTTGAAAGAGTGCATAAGATTGAAGAAGGGGCCTGGAGTTCCTTTAGGAGCCTAGGAATGCTAATGGAGCACATTTAGTCTTTTTCCATACCTATCTTTTTTTTTTTTAAGATTTATTTTATTGGAAAATCAGATATACAGAGAGGAGAGACAGGAAGATCTTCTGTCCGATGTCCGATGATTCACTCCCCAAGTGAGCGCAACGGCCGATGCTATGCTGATCCAAAGCCAGAAGCCTCTTCCGGGTCTCCCACGCGGGTGCAGGGTCCCAAAGCTTTGGGCCGTCCTCGACTGCTTTCCCAGGCCACAGGCAGGGAGCTGGAAGGGAAGCGGGGCTGCCGGGATAGAACCGCCGCCCATATGGGATCCTGGCGCGTTCAAGGCGAGGACTTTAGCCGCTAGGCCACAGCTCCGGGTCTATTCTATACCTATCTTTATGCTGGTAGCCCTACTCCTTGCCGACAGCCTGGTAAATACTCTCAACCACACATTCCTCAAATTATCCTGGTTTGAATGTGTCAATGGTTTCTGCTGGAACCCATACAGGAACTAAGATTCCGTGCTGTAGGAATGCACTCAGAGCTTTAAGAAAGGGAAAGAAGTAATCGAGTTTATGTCTTAGAAGTAATCAAGTCACCAGTGGTGCTATGAAGGATAGATACGTAATGCTGGAAGAAAGGAGCACAAGTAGGAGACTTGTGAAAGATCAGACGAAAACACACACTTAAATGGGCTTCTGTGAGTGGAAAGGGATACACTTTATTATTATTATTTAAAATTTTTATTTTTATTACAAAGTCAGATATACAGAGAGCAGGAGAGATAGAGAGGAAGATCTTCCACCCCATGATTCACTCCCCAAGTGACCACAATGGCTGGTGGTGCACTGATCCGAAGCCAGGAGCCAGGAACTTCCTCTAGGTCTCCCACACAGGTGCAGGGTCCCAAGGCTTTGGGCCGTCCTAGACTGCCTTCCCAGGCCACAAGCAGGGAGCTGGACAGGAAGTGGATCTGGGTGCATTCAAGGTGAGGACTTTAGGTGCAAGGACATGGTGCCAGGCCCAAGAGATACAATTTTACTTGCTTTAAAAACAGAAAAAGAATTACAGTACTTGATCCTTGACTGGAGTTAGGGTTCATGAAAGATGAGTTTGAGAGCCAGTGCTGTGGCATAGCTAGTTAAGTTGTTATCTGCGATGCCTTGTCCCTGACGAGTGTTGGTTGGAGTGTCAGTTACTTCCAATCCAGCTCCCTGCTAATGTATCTAGGAAAGTAGTGAAAGATAGCCCAAGTAATCAGGGACCTTGCAGTCACATTAGAGACACACATAGAATTACATGCTTCTGACTTCTGTTTGGCACAACCCCAGCCAAATCCTGGCCATTGATGAACATATGGCAGATTTCAATCTCAGATCTCTGTTTTTCAAATAATGTTTTCAAATATATATACACACACATAGATATATAAAGATCAGTTGGCAATGATTCCACCATTTATGACAGAGTACAATTGACTATGACTAATAAGGAAAAACCATTGTAGGCAACATAATGAGTTCACATTTAGACATTAAAAAGTTCTGGAAAGCTGGGCCCAGTGCTGTAGCCTTGTGGTAAATCCTCACCTTGCATCCACTGGGATCCCATATGGGTGCCAGTTTGTAACCTGGCTGCTCCACTTCCTATCCAGCTCCCCACTTTCAGCCTGGGAAAGCAGTTTTAGGATGGCCCA